TTCAAATTAGGGGTGTTTTTTGTGCAAATGTATTCATCCAGTGACTTTTCATCCGATACACAGGTTTTTGAGCGCCCCGTACTTCAAATTTCTTTCCATGAAGGTTTCTTCTATTGGAAGTATGCATCTGTGCACTTGTACAAAACAACCTATTTTTCTAAAGATATGATGAATTTGTGTTTTTCAAATAATTGACTATAAAATTAATGACAGTTTTAAACTGAAAAAAAAAATTCATATCTTCCAAGTCAATGGATGGAGCGCTGATGTATATTTAGGAACAAGGGCAAATGTATAATATATACCCAATTACCCACAGTAATTTAAATTTTAGAATTCTGTATTTATGAGACACAAGCAGTAAGTGCAAGCTCTCCTCTACAGGACTTCAATATAAATTGATAGATACCGAAAAAAAAATCAAACAAAATTGACTGAAAATCTTAACACATCTTAATCATAAAAAAGTTTTCTTCCAGAATTTTAATTACTCATTTGAAAAATGATTTGACTATCGATGGCTCGCTGACACTAGACACAATGTCGCATAGGTGTGCTCAAAGCGTGAAAGTGAATGGATTTGAGTCACGTGTTCAGTGCTTTGTTATTCATGAGGTCAAAGACGGGTTAAAATTTGTAAACAACGTGCTCTTACTATGGATGCCTGCACCCTAGATTTTGCATCTTTTTGGAAAATAACAAATGAGTGCAAGACTGTTTCAATTTCTTTCATGAATGTAAAGGACTAGTATAACTTTTTACATTGACAGTATTTACGACAACTTGATACATCCATACGCTCATATATAAAATGGCCTTGCAAAATGGAGGTGCGGCATAAAGTCTATGAGAAATCGATATAAACAACATACCTTTGCTATATTAACAACATAAATATCTAATTACAGCACAAGGAAGTAAAAATTGAAATTGTAATTAATAAACTACAATATTTGATGGAGAGATTGAGGCAAAAATATGTAGAAAATCTTTAATTTATTTTTTTTGTAAATTATCGGGGAGTCAGACTAGGACGTTTAAACGATTCATCCTTTATATAACTTTACAGGGGTCGATACCATAAGGTATTTAAACGTCTCGGGCTCAATTACAGGGGAAAACGGGGCAGCCCGAATTTGCTTGGTTCCAATGGAAATCAAGATAGTCTTGAGGAAGGAAGCATTCATTATTTATTGTTGTAATATGGATATTGCAAATCATAGGCTTTTTAAACTACCACGTTGTACTGAGGAAAATACAGCAAAAACAATCCATTTTTTCCCTTAAACTTCAATATACCAAGAAAGGAATTGGCGCGGTTAATATAAGTAATATTCTTAATCACAGAAGGGTCCATTCTTGTATTTAACCGTATTTCAAGTTAAAGACTACATCTTGTATTTCCTACAAATATACATCGACTATTGCTGCAAAACTTTTTAATTACAAGAAAACTTTACAGGGCCTGGATATCGAATATCTGAAACATAATCCTCCATCATGTTCATGTTCTTCTTCACCCTATAACTATAGTCCTACTGGACACGTTATTACTGGTGACGTAAATATAGTTAATAATGAGGACCTTAGATCACTAATTTTAAAAGGTCCAAAATATAGGGAACCCCGATCCTTCAACTGGCGTCCGAATTTCATAAATATTATGGATTCTGTAGAGGACTACGTCAGGCGATGGGCCAGACATGAAAAAGAAGACCTTGACACTTTGTCAGAATGGATTAAATGTATCAGATGTATGTTAAGATCGCGCATAAAAAGATTGAAGGGCAATATGAGAACCATCTATCCTTCTGTTTCAATAATCCAGAGGTGAAAAAAGAATTCGATAGATTACATGATCAGTACGTACTGGTCCCTGCTGACAAAGCAGGAAACAACATTGTCTTTGTTTGTAAGGCTCATTATATTAAATGTAAATTAGAGGAACTTTGATTTAATTCTACAAGTGGTAATCCAACTTATACTCATAGTTCCCTTTCTAAGGAAGAAATTCTTCAAAATCATATGTCAGTTTTGAATATTTTTATTATTCCAAACAACCAAAATGAATTTGAATTACCATATTTACAATGGATTCCGAAGCTTCATAAAATCCTTACAAACAAAGATACATAGCGGGTTCCAGTAAATGTTCAACCAAACCTCTTTCTTTACTCCTTACTGAGATATTAACATTAGTGAAGGAGAAACTTCAAGAGTACTGTGCAACAATATATTCGAGAAGTGGTGTAAATCAGATGTGGAGATTTAAAAATTCTACGGAACTTTTGGAAAATTTGAAATCGCAAGATTTTACCAAAATCAACAACTTAAAAACTTACGACTTGTCAACCTTATACACAACCATTCCCCACGATTAATTAAAGTCCAGGCTTTTTGATATCATTGACAGCTGCTTTTTCAATAAAAATGGAACTCTTAAATTTACTTATCTTGTCATTGGTCATTTGCAAAATTATTTTGTTAAAAACATTCTGATTGTACACACTAGTACTCTGAAGTTGACATTAAAAAGATGCTTGGGTTTCTGATTGACAATATCTATCTGGTTTTTGGAGACCAAGTCTTCCAACAATCTATTGGAATTCCCATGGGTACCAATTGCGCCCCGTTATTAGTAGATCTTTTTTGTATTTATATGAAGCAGAATTTATCCAAAATCTTGTACGTGAAGAGAAGAAAACACTTGCCGTGGCCTTCAACTCGACATTAAGATATATCGACTACGTATTGTCAATTAACAATAGATTTTTCAATTCTTATGTCGATACGATATATCCTGGTTAGCTTGAGATAAAAGGTACCACAGAGTCTGACACATCTGTTTCATATTTGGATATTTTACTTGAAAAAGACGTTAATGGTAATCTAACAACCAAGCTTTATGATAAACGTGATGACTTTAACTTTTCAATCGTCAACTTCCCTTAATTATGCAGCAATATACCTTCATCAATTGATTCGATACGAAGAGCGTGCTGTACGTATGTACAATTGCTAAAACGAGGTAAATTATTGGCAAACAAGTTGTTGAAACAAGAATGTCAGCTGTCTCGTTTAAAGTCATCATTTCGTAAGTTCTATGATCGATGCAATGACTTTGTCAGCAAATACAATTTATCATTGAGTTTAATGCTGACTGACTTTTTTCATACAAATTGTTAGGCCATTATTTACACACTGAGTTGTCGACGGATTTTTCAGATATTTCCCGATAATGACAAGGAGCACACGGCGGGTGTGACCGGTCGGCAGGGGATGTTCACTCCTTCGTGGCACCTGATCTCACCTCTGATGTTTGGAGGTCTGTGTTTGCTCTGCTCCTATTTTGTATTGCTTGATGGACTTTTGAGCCTGAATACTGTTCGAATAGGTGATATCACCTATTCATTTCCAATACGTGATATCATCCATTCGAATAAGTGATATCACCTATTCGAATAAGTGATATCACCTATTTGAGTAGAGGATATCAGCTATTCAATTTGAATGAGTGATATCATTTATTCGAGTAGGTGATATCACCTATTCGTATAGCTGATATCACCTATTCGTATAGGTGATATCATCTATTCGAAAAGGCGATATCACTAAATGGCAATAAATACCAAAGCGGCGCCTCATATTTTCCTGTTTTATATTTGTATCGATATTATGCAATTAGGACCACATCGATGCAAACTACGGCCAAAATGTACGTTCCTCTCCCATTCTAGTCGTGGTTGAATGAGAAGAAAATATTTCGCAGCTCATTAAAATATTGACCAATGCGAGTACAGCATAGTCTGATGATGAACTTTGACGGGACCTTTCAATACACAATTGCAGAAGACGAAACATTTCTTGTCAACTGTTGATGTCAGTTGTTGATTTCAATTGCGATGGAAACAAATATTGTCATTGGATGAACATGACGTCACAATACAGAGGCGTAAATCTTCAAGATTGTGATGTCACTTTTTATGATCAATCAGCCACGGGTAGGAGATAGTTATATGCGGACTCCGGACCGTGGCTTGAGACGATGCTAGAACCATTACCGCCAACAAATTCTATAAAACTTGCAAGTGTGTGTCAATTTCGTTTTAGAATCTAAAAGTCGTAATCAATACTTAGCGTTTGATAGTTGTTTGTAAAATGTTGGGCGGGAATCGAGTGTGCGACGTTCTTCACAAAGAAATATAGGTATAAAGGATAGGTGTATAATTTCTTCTCTCTCTCTCTCTCTCTCTCTCTCTCTCTCTCTGAAAAACTTTCTTTAAATAACAAGGGGAGAAAGTAGAATAATACTTGGATGAGTAACATATTGTATAATATGTTTTCAAATTATTAAGAAAATGATAAATTGTGATAGATATATTAATCAAGAAACAGACAAGTTATTGAGTGAATATCTTGAAATATTACAAGTTGTGCAACATGATCCGAAGAACAGGTTTTAAATAAAAATAGACATTACTCCTAAATCGGGTGATTAATAAGAACCACAATATGATACTAGATTCAACAAGTATCACATACTTGTCATTAGGGAGTTTCCCTAAATAATATGATGTTATCTTGGAAAAAATGAAACCAATGTAGTCATATTTTTATGAACATTCTCCTGTACTTTAAATTATTTTAATGTATGTATAGCATTCAGTTGTTTCGTGGGAAAAGTTAACTTCAGATAATAAGGTATCATAATTATTTAAACATCTATCGGGATATAAATGCAAAATCAAATGCCATAAAGCTTGAAGAGCTATCTATCGATCGATCAATAGATCGATAGATAGATCGATTGATCGATTGTGTGAGAGAGAGAGATAGAGAGAGAGAGAGAGAGAGAGAGAGAGAGAGAACATTGCTGACAAACTTGTCGGCGACTTTTTATACCCTAATACATTTAAAGAGACCTCGTGATCGTCAATTAAACCTGCAGATCAATTCATATTTAAAACCCCAGTGTAAAAATTAAAAGTGACTGATTCAGGATGGCAAAAGAGTAAGTCTTACCTTTCAAATGTAGATTAGTATAATTTGATAAATGAATAATTATTTAATTTTAAATCATTGATTTTACTCCATCTTACTTGTTTAGACATTTAATATAAATGCTTTATACGTTTCAAGCTGTTGTTTTTATGCAGTTATCCTATAAATGGCGACTTCAGCTTGAATTATCCTACCGAATAAGCTAGGCTTTTTACTGAGGATTCAATTTTGGCATGATGAGCGAGAGTTCTGAGATCGACAAAATTTGAATATCGCTAACAATTTATTCTTTATCGGTTGTTATAGCTATTTCTATTGGGACATTAAAAAATTGCTTCTCGCTATGCAAAAAAATGTCCTCTAGACTCTAATCCTCTAGTACTTTGACCTTATTTAAATTGCAAATATGGCAACCTAGAATTTAGCTGTGAATCCATGTAACACTTCAACTAATTCGCAAAATTTTATACATGCAGTCCAAAATCTATTCTATATTGAAAAAATTGAGGTATCAGTGGAAACAAATATAGAGAGTGTCAATATTTTGTCAAATAAAGCAACTCATTAACTTAAAATGAAATACTTAATGTTTATTTATTTTAGCATATTTTGAAGATCAAAGTTAACGTCAGATATCATAAACTATATGTTACTTTGATGACATGTTGTCATACTAGAATAACATACTAGAAACAATATGTTATCAAAGTCTTTGCTTTGCAAATTTATTTATTTATTTAAGTATAATGATTTCTTTCCCTTCAATTTACAAGGGGATTTCTTCCAATGAATTGTTTTCAAATATGTACTCTTTTAAATAATCTGTAAGGTTTTACATGCAAGAGTATAAGTTTTTTTTTTTTTTTTTTTTTTTTTTTTTTTTTTTTTTTTTTTACAAAATACATTCTATTTCTCTGTGGAATTCTTTATAATGCATTCCTAAAAGAATTGTGTTTAAATTAAGTAAAGTACAAAGAATTTTAGGTAAAAATGAACCTTTTCTGTAAGAAATTTGTTGGAATATTGATAAAGTGATATGATTTCTTTAAAAAAACTTTCTTGTTTTTGCCTGTTCATATGATTTATTTGAATTTTTAATTTTTCCTTTTACAGGATATTTATATGCATTTGCTTGCTCTTCACGTGTTCACTAAGTTTCAAGTATTTTCAATCGAAAATACCAAATGGAGATTCTGTACCACATCCCTGTAAGCCGAATTATCTCTGGCATGGAGTAGGTCACAGGAATGAACAAGGGGGCGGATCAAGGAATCCTTTTGGCGAAGATTTTGATGCTGTTGGAAAGGTAATCATTTAAGACAGGAATGTATCTAATGAGGCTTTTCAAAATGTGACGGGTAGAGATTTAAAAACCTATTTCAAACCTGATTCACTTCCACTTCTCATTTCAACCGAGTTAGGCTGAAAGCAAAATCATGGCTGTAGAAATGTAAATCTTCTGTTCATCTTTAAATATCACAACAGAAAAAAGAAGAAAAAAATCAATTGACTTCAGAGCACAAAATAAACAGTGAGAGACTGCACCTCACCAAATACATTTTATCAACTAGATCTATAGAACACTATATCAGATATATCCTGTCACCTCATTCTATACAAAACTTTTTCAAATATATTTTATCGAATGAAATTGATTTAGTGTCTAGTAAATACAGTAAATATATGTGTTGCATCGATGCTGTTCCTTGAAAATTGAAAAAAAAACAGCTTTAAAGATAAAAGTTATAAAAACTATATTATTAATATGATAACCCTGAATTAGATCTATACAGGGACCTATATACTAACGGGATAGGCAACTCCTTCAGCGCCATGTTTATTTACCCAAAACGGCACACACAACACTGCAAGTTTTTCGAACTACTTTTTTTCCCTAGTAAAAAGCTTGTTTTCTGATTAATGTAATCTGTTCTTTTTGTGTATCGGAATGGATATTTAATAAATTTAAAAGCACATGTTTTAAGATAATTTAGATATTAAGTAAACAACCATCAAAATCGGCGATTTCTCGAAAATACGACCGATCAGGGGCACGCACTGATTTTTAAATAAACGTAATTACTTCTAAGATAAGGAGTAAAAACAGCGCTAATAACAAATCTTGAATAATTTTTTGACAGATAAATTAAGATTTTATTCTGAAATATTTGATATCAAAAGAGATATATTTAATTAAAATTGACTTAGGAAATCCCGCAACTTACGAGGTATCGCGATAGTTACCTATCTCGTTAGTATATAGGTCCCTGATTTATATTTCTGCTGTTGGACCATGAATTTCTACCCAACAAAATTATCAAATTATTTTATAGATATGATAACAGACAACAGACTTACATATTCCATTCTTTGATAATAAAAGGTATACAGTGTGTTTCCATTTGCCTGATATTTATTTATTTCCAATATGGAAGATGCTAATTGCGCCCAATTATTCGATTACTTATTTTTGTATTTATATGAAACAGGATTTATTCAAAATATTCTTATACATGAGAAGAGGAAAACACTTGCTGTGGTCTTCAACTCGACATTTAAATATATCAACGACGTATTATCAACAATAGTTACTTCCATTCATGTCGACTCAGTTAAACAACATACAATAATCAATCAATCATCTTCATCAAGTTGCATAGTGCTGAGCTAATGTCTGTTTTCTATCTGTTGTGCTTTATATGTGTATAATCATGGCATTCTGTGTAATTTTACATGGATAAAATGAACTGAATATTCATGTATATTCATATTCACATGTGAATTCCAAAAAATAACCTCACTGGTTTAGAATTCAACATATATTTAATCTCTAAATCTCCAAAGTATTTCCAGAATGAAATTTCAACAAACTAACTATTATAAACTTACATTGGAAGAATTTCAGATCATGTTTTACCAAAAGTTCAATGATATAATTTTCTTATTTGGTTTTCGTTTGTTTATTTGTTTGTTTTTGTGGTTGTTTAACGTCTCTTCAGAAATTTTTGAACTCATATTGAGATGCCACCACTTGCCGATGGAGGGCTGCAAATATAGACCTGTCCTCGGCACTTATAGCCTTTGAGCAGTGGGGGGATCTTTTTCGTGCCAGCACCTACTGCGTCACGGGACCTCGGTTTATACGGTCTCATCCATAAAACTGGTCTCCATGTCCCACAGTAGAGTAGGATCAACTCCTTACTCCGCAGCTCCAAAGCAAACACTCTGACCACTGCGCCACGCTGGTCTCGCTGGCACTTTCGGTATTCGTATATATTCCTGTTGATTTTTTAAAAATCATTTGCAAGTGCCCTTGGACGCTAGCGTTATAAATCCTTATGTAATATTTACATACTCTTTTAGATTTTAGATCCAACGAATAAAAATGTTTAGATAATTTAGATTGAAATACAACGCATTATACTTCGGCTTTATTATTTAGATTGGCTTTCATAAAAAGATTAATTAAAAGAGAGCAATGAGCCGTGAAAATTACCTAAATATCAAGAGTTCAATGAAGAAAGTAGAATAATAATCATTTTCATACAGCTTGTCCCTAAGATTGCAGACCTAAATTTTTCAATTATCAATCAAATTAAGAGCCTAGAGTGATCTCATTCTGAATAATTTTTCTGAGTGAAAAAATTAGGGAATAGCTATAAGGACATGATTATTCTAGATTTAGATCTCATTATCATAATACATAAAACAAATGCAGAAAAATACCCATGATAAATAGAACAGATTTTCAAAAGTGTAAATATGCTGCAAATTAATATGATAATAAATGCTCTTCCTTAGAATATATAAGAAGTGCGAAAGGCAATTTTTTTTTTATTTCGGAAGGGACACAATTGTTTTAAGAAGTAGGCATGATACATAAAACAAATGCAGAAAAATACCCATGATGAATGGAACAGATTTTCAAAAGTGTAAATATGCTGCAAATTAATATGATAATAAATGCTCTTCCTTAGAATATATAAGAAGTGCGAAAGGCAATTTTTTTTTTATTTCGGAAGGGACACAATTGTTTTAAGAAGTAGACATGCAAACATTTGATACTTGATTACGTAAGGGTGAAGAGGAGTGTTTTCAGAATATTCTTAACTCGCACTTTGCAATGTTAAAGGCCTGCTTCCAGTACTTTTAATACATTGATTTTTTTTTTTTTTTTTTTGAAAGGTCTATGTTTCCTCTGATCTCAGTTTTTATTGTTTCTTTTGACGTTTGAGTAGGATTATTGCTTGCTTTCTTCTTATTTCATTTCTATTGACTGCCTTGTGACAAAAATGCTCAACAACATGTATCTGCATATAATGCTTTAAATACCGCAATTATATATTTCGCATAAATACATTATTTCATTCACATTATATATTGTACTTGTATTTACATGTACGTACAGTTTATGAAAATAAGTTATTTGTTTTAACTAACATTTGGATTTAAAATGATATTAAATGAATAAACCAGATCTCACTGACAATAAAATAATGGGGCATCGAAAAGTCAATCTTAAACAATTTGGTGGATGGCCATATGTCCTTTAGTGCAACTCCTTCGTTGAAAAAAAAAAACTAATTTCAGCTTCTTGGCGACATTTGGTAACAAAAAGTAGTACTATGAATAAAAGCATTTTCACTTAGTCATATACTTCAATTCATAATTTATTTGATAAACTTTCGACAATTATTCTGAACAGTGTCAATCTCTGCCTGCCTTTAGATGCGGTTTTGTCAACTTGTTTACCTGTATTTATTCTTTTTTTTATAAAGAAAAAAAGAAAAAAAAAAAAAAAGATAAATCACCCTATTGCAAATAATTATCCAAAAATATCCGTACTCAATCACTTCATAAAAATAAAATCAAGGTGACACCGAATTAGAATTTCAACAAAGTTTTGTACTGTAATGGTGCACAAAAAGTAACTAATAAAACCGCAGTGACACAGAACAGCAATTGAAATAAAGAAAAATTTAAATATAGAATGAGTGGAATGAGGAACGGGTAGGTGAAACCCCATTAAAATTTCCATATGAATATTAACAATTTGAAAACACTTGGAAATTAAAAGACGGGAGTGTGCATAAACCGTAATCGTACACAAAACGTAAATAAAGAAATCATTGTGACACAGAAGAGAAAAAACAAAACTTTAAAGGTTTGAAAAGTAAATTGAGAATAGCATGTGAAAAACCTTCCCATAGAAATATCGATGAGATGCATTAAATTAAAAAACAATGTTCGGATGATAAGAGTACATATTAACTCGACCCAGGATAAGAAGGCAGTGGCTTTTCATTTTAACCCGTCCCTATTTAAACTATTTTCATCACCATTTATCTAATATTATACATTCATCTAGTTTGATTTCAAAACTGTTAAATATGTTTCACATGAATCATTCAAAAACTCCAAAACCTGTCGTTTTGAATTAAAATGTTAAAGGTTGTAGTGAAGTACCTTTTGAAGTTTAATAATTAAGAGAATGCATTTATTTTAACTGAAAATGTAAGACAAAAGTTTTGGTCTTCTCCATATTTTTGGGAAATATTCTCTATCTTAAGGGTACTTAACACAAACAAAAATTTGATGCATGGATTGATATATATCTTTTGTCTTATTTTGATTAGAAATGACATGAATAATAAATCCCTAAAATATAAAGAAATCGCAAGTGTCCTTTGGTGATTAGAAATGTGACTTTGTGTCGCTTTTTATATAATTTCATACAAATTTCATACAAAATTTTCCACAACTTTTTCACCTGATGACAAAATCTTGTAAAAATCTTCCACTATACCTGGCAAACATTATTCGGGTTACCAATTTAAAAATAAATTCAATAGAACTATTGCTGATTTCTGAAAAAAAGTTTGTTTGTGTTATTTATCCTTAATTCTATAATTACCAAACACAAAACCCTCACTCTGTGCATATCTTAAACGTTAAGTTATATATGTATTTAAAAACATACGCTTTAAGTTTGAACAATTAGTTTTAAATTATTTTTAAAATAAACTTTATTTAATTTAATTTTAATTGGGGAGGGGGGGATATATGGAGATAACGAACAGTATTCAAGCTCAAAAGTTCATTTAATAATACAAATTATGGAGCAGAGAAAACACGGACCTGAAAAACATCAGTTGTGGGATTAGGTGCCATGGAGGAGTGAGCATCCCCTACCGACCGGTCACACCCGCCGTGTGCTCTTTGTCATGATCGGGAAATAACGGGAAAATCCGTCGACAATTCAGTGTGTAAATAATGGCCTAACAATTAGTATGAAAAACGTCACTCAGCACTTGACATAATGATAAATTTCATTTGCTAACTAAGTCATTGTATCACCCATACAACTTACGAAATGACGACTTTAAATGAGACTGCTGATATTCTTGTTTCATCATCTTGTTTGTCAATAACTTTACTAGTTTTAGAAATTGTTCATATGTAGAGCATGCTCTTGCGTATTGAATCAAATGAGAGATGTAAACCCCGTATGCAGGTGACGAAGGTATATTGCTGCATGAGTAAGGGAAACTGACGATTGAAAATTTAAAGTCTTCATGTTTATCATAATGCTTGGTTGTTAGATTACCATTAACGTCTTTCTCTAGTAAAATATCCAAACATGAAACAGATGTTTCGGACTGTGTTGTATATTTTATTACAAGCTCACCAGTGTATGTCGTATCGAAAGTGATTTCTTCTTTTCACGTATAAGATTTTGAACAAATTCTGTTTCATATGAATACAAAAATAGGTCTGCAAATAACGGTGTGCAAACTGTACACATGGCAATTCCAATAGATTGTTGGAAGACCTGGTCTCCAAAAACCACATATAGATATTGTCAATCAGAAACTCAAGCATTTTTAATGTCAACTTCAGAGTACCTGTGTATACAATCGGAATGTTTTTAATAAAATAATTTTGCAAATGACCAATGACAAGGTAAGTAAACTTACGATTTCCATTTTTATTGGAAAAGCAGCTGTCAATGATATCAAAAAGCCTTTAATTTATTGAATATTTCGAAATTTAAGGCATGGACGCATGAGTTGTGTCGGAAGGACTCGGACGGTGACGGTAAAACCAATGCAGAAGAACTTGGTGACCCGTGCTGCATATGGCGGGAATACGCTATTCCGGATAAAAATGCAATTTCTCATCCTGGTATGAAAGCCTCTTCTTGTTTGAAATACTAGCAGTATTTTGCGATCATTTTCTCTTCTTGGAATTTATCTCAATTTGGAGCATGATAAAGCGTAATATAGTGCTACTAGATGTTACAATAAATATTTTTCATAAGCTAAACGGAATTAAGTGTTCTGTTATATTGTTGTCTCGAGATAGAAGTATGCTTCATATATCAATATAAGAGAGAACGAAGGGGAACCGACCCTCTGATAAGAGAGATAACTTTCCAAATAAAATATCCTAGTATTACTCATAGTTTACTTTATCAGAGTTTAATTATACAGACCTTTGAGCAGTCAATTCGATCAAACTTAACATATGATGGAAACATTACCTTATATTTCCTTTGACTGTACTTTTCAAATTGTTTTATTACATTACCTTATATTTCCTTTGACTGTACTTTTCAAATTGTTGTATTATGTTTGACAAAAAAAAATTAAATCCAGTTTTAAAACCCTTTAAAATTGAATAAGTTCTATCTTTTTAACGATCATTTTAAAAATGGTTTAATGTATCAAGCACCAAATGTAGATTTTTTATTAGTATTACATTTTTTTCTAATGAAAAAATATTTATAAGATAACTCTTGCTAACAGATGTATTGTTTTCTTACAACCACATTTAACATTGTGATATTCTGACTTAGGAGTTTCATTATGATTTCTAATATGAATTTAGTAGTATAACACTGAATGTTATTTTCATATACACCGCATATTTCTATTTTAAAGTTGTGATAATAAATTATTACTCTTCCTAATCTCTGTGTTAAAAATTCTTCATATTATGATCTGACATAAAAATCATTTCTGAAAAATAAGCAGCGCTTCATACCTCATACTATTTTTCATTTGATTTTGATTCTATAGCTCTTGATGAAAATCAGTATAGGGAAGTTTAAAAATTTTCGTGAAATTTGGAGCAGAGGGTCATTAGTCCTTAAGAGTTTATAGAATTACACCAAAGGAATGAAAAAAATAACATAGAATTATAGTTGATATTTAATAAATAAGCAGTCACGAATTCAATGAGTGCTACAAATTCAAAAACTTATGGATCCGTAAACTCAGAAACAATATTTCCTCAGGTTAAAGGTACACGAGAAAATCATTAATCCCAATTGACAATTAAATTTAAGAGATATTCTTGTATTAGAAAATGTTTTTACTTAAAAATTTCAGATGTTGATAAAATAAGGAACGTCTATTCATGAATAACTCTCGCAGATAAATTGTAGTTTACCAAGATTTGTTCTTTATGCAAATCATTGCTTGTCTTTATATTTTTGTGATAAGTATATGTCACATTCTTTATCTGTTATGAAATATACATTTCAGGTATGTATTATACTTGTAAGTCTTTGATTAACGATATCAATTTTTCATATAGGTGTGTGCGAACCATTCAACAGCTCACTCTGTAGGTCAAAGAACACGTGGGTACAGTGTGAACTTGAAACTTTCAAATGTGACGCCATCAACCAACCAGGTACGCTTTTTTGCAATTCATTTTATAGAACTAAAGTCATCCGATTTGCCATTGATTGGTAAGGTACAATCAGAATGTTGTAGCTTTTATGTTTTTAAAAGTTAAATTAGAAAGAAGGATTTAGAAATGTATTTATTGAAAAATCTGTCCTTCACTTTGAAACAGATTCCTGCTTTCTATATCTGATATAACCATCTGTATAGAATATAATACTCATTACTTTTAAATACAGACGCATTAATTTACCTGAGAATCTTGTCATAAGATCCATTAAATCACATACATATTTTTGAATTGTATAATTTGAAACAAAATGGATACCAGCAATTAATTGTCTGGATAAGAGCATTTGAAGCACAAAAATTAGAAATAAAATATTTCCTTTTTTTTTTTTACTTTTGTAGGTGTTAAGAACATAACATTAAGGTATCCTGAAACCAAAGTACCTTTTTATGAAACCAGCTACTTCTGTATGACCTTTGAACTTCCTAATGATGGCGACTATCATCTGATTGCAACAACACCTAACATTGACAATGAATACGTCATGCACCATATTCTTCTGTATGGATGCGACGATTCAGGTGAGAGGAAAGAAAAGTTCAAAAATGTGCGAAGTGTGTTGTTTAAAAGAGAAAGAAAATTTAATATTTCTAGAATGTAGTTTATGGCATTTCTTGTTCAAGAGATCGATATTTGAAAAATTGAGTAATTGAAACCAATGTCTCTGGGATTGAAAGTGAAAGAAAGAATTTCTCTTACAAATTATAAATCTTGTTTAATTCCTTAGAGCATGTACAACATTAAATATTCTCTATAATTATCTAACTTTGCTTTGGTTAAGTCACTAATGAAACAACAGTACCTACAATATGTGGAATGGTACCCGACTCATGTCTGACTATTATTGGAGGCTGGACCGTAGGGACCCACGGAGAATGTGCTCACAAAGATGTAGGATTCCGGATCGGACAAAACGGATTTAAATCTGCAATTTTGCAGGTAAAATGATCAATCTTATATTATTTTTTTTATTTGTATTAAAATTAAACTTTTATTGTTTAAATGTCCCTTTATGGTGGGAAATAGAAAAACGAAATATTTTATGTCATTGTTATTTCGGATTGAATTAAAGACGTTCGATTTTTTTCTCGTTTCATTCTTTCCGTAAAATGCAAAATATACATTACTGCTTAATTTATGGAGAATCAATGGGTCGTGGACGTCTTGGGTGGTAGTTTTTATAAAATAAATTTGGCTCTTTCTGTCCCCATTTTCGTCAATAAATGTTAGAGTGGCTCGTAATGACACAGTAACCTCCTACTACATAAATTCTTCAATAAAAAAAGAAATACTGCATCAGAATCAATTGCCTCAGAGACCTTTTTTGATCATGTAGACTCCCTCTTTTTTAAAAAAAAATGCTAGTGACTGGGCTGAAGATCTAGTTCTAATTTTTCAATTCTGCTAATAAATCCATTTTGTTTTAAGTGTTAATAATTCAATATTCCTCACTTTCATCACTTTGAACTAATACATTTCTACAGAGAAATTTTTCTGTTCATTTTCCATAATATAATGGTAACTTTAGAAACCGAACTACTTTCAATGCACGTTTTGGTACGATGTTCGTCAGCAAATTGAGTCTAAAGAAGGAGATGAAAGGTCTGTGTTATAAACTAATTCTCTCTCGAACGAATGATTATGTTCCTTTCATCTTTTTAAATCAGCTTATGTGAATCTTTTAGTTCTTCCCGTGTGTTTTAAAGGAAATACTTTATTTTTAAATTATACAATAAAAATTCTTGTTAAGTAGAGAAAAGAAAAATATTCAAGTAAATCATTGAGCGAGGTCATTGCTGTTAATCGTTAATGTCGTGGTTGGAAAGGAATATAACTCTGTAAAGAAGCATGTGTTTTGCATATTTTATTTACAAGTAACAATTTACATGTACATTGATTTTATCGAGAATTTTTCACTCATAAAGAGATGTCACCATATTCCGGTGATGGGCTTTAAATACAGACCTTTAATCGGCACTCAGGGCCATTAGGCAGTGAGGGTTCTTTATCGTGCCAACGCCAACCGTGACACGGGGCCTCGGTTTTTGAGTTGTCATCCGAAGGACCCGCAACCGTGATTCGAACACACGACTTTCCGATCACGGAGCAAGCGTTCTTCCAAATGAGCTACCGTGACAGCACATGTACATTGGATTAGTACAAATTGAAAACAAAACTATAATGTAGGTTATAAAAATTAGAATAATAAAAGGAAATTAGACTTTTTTAGAATTAGAATTAGACTTTAAGTTTTTCTTGACGTGAATGTCATTCTCATATTCTCACATAATTCGTCTGCACATTCATCAACATTATACAGGGTATTAACTGTCCATCTAGTTGTACGTGTATAAAGGTGTATCGACAAGCAAGTTTTTTCCAGATCTTTTTTAAACCTGAAGAGACCTTTTTTTTGGTATTACGTTTTACTCCACTTGACGTGTGACACTGACAACAAAGCAAGTTTCTGACAACTTTATGTTGTAACGCTTTCAAAATTGCACGTGCAGATTTTCATAACTCACAAAGCTGATTACTTAGTAAATTATTATACAGGCAATATCATAACGGGAAATTCTTTATTTTTATAACATTAAAATAAAATTATACCCGTCTTGTGTACTACAAGCTTTTAGATCCACTCCCCAGAATCGTGTAATTTTCGATATACACGTATTTCTTGCCAGCATGTAAATTTTATGCACAATTTTTAAAGTTAACTAGATAATGAGTATGTACATCATCAAAAGTATCGTTTTTCACTAAAATTAAATTATAATCATTGACTATATAAATCATTTTATTCATCGAAATATGAATCTAAAAACGAATTGCACACCTTCGGCCTTCATAAAGTGTGCCATTCGTTTAAAATTTTTAGATTAATTTCTCGAGGAGTAAAATAATTTATATAGTCAATTCTACATTATATAATTTTGTTTTATAAATTTGCTGTTATAAATATGAGGGGGGAAATTCCGTTCATTTATTTGTCCATCCTTATGTCCGTCTGTCTGTGATACATGCCTACCTTTTAATATATATATATTTTCAATAATATTTTAAATCACGAATCCCTATAGACCTTTTTAATAATATATGCAGACATGCGCAGAAGTACTTCCGAGTGGAAAAATCACGACTCATTCTGTGCAACATTCTACGCTTCATTTTCGTCAAAAGTGTTTTATAAACATCGTCGTATATTTTTTGTTGAATTGATATTTACTTATTAAACTGAATAAAATTGGTTTGAAATATGTTTTATTTTATTTATTTCAATTCATGTAAGAGTGACAAACATTTCCTGTTTATCGTTACCTTGTTTACATTGGCAACGAGTTACAACAGTATGGCGACCCGCGAAAACTTAAAAAAAACAAACGTAAGTGTTTTGCGTAGCATAGCAGCTGATCTGGGGATAAATTCAAAGAGAAAGAAGGATGATCTTATATGTGACATACTATCTAGTCAAACACCAGCAGCTTTAATAACTCCAGTTGTGCAATTGTCATCTTGCATTAATCCAACTGACGTGCAGTTTAAGGAAAACTTGCCCCCTTTCAATGCAGTCCATTATCAGTCAATATCGGAGGATCTTAAACCTCCGAGTATATCATTCTCTATGGTATATGAATTCATGATAACAAGGCGAAGGCAGGAAGGTGATCAATGCATCCAAAACTTCAAGGGTTTAGACAAGTCCGTGAAGCATTTTGATGCCGGGGATGTCCAGAATATGTGTATTGCACGAGTAAGTTAATAATATTATGCAAACCTAGTCTTTATAAAGAAATTTTAACTACAGACATTTATGAATTACATATAGATGTTTCTAGGTCAGTTAAGATAAATATTCAGCACTTTGAGAGAGAGTGTATTTGACAAACACACATACATAGCTGATTTATTCTAATCTGATGCATGGCCGTAGGAACCGGGGGAGGGGGGTTGCTCCCACAATGATTTTGCCAATACATAGAATATATAGAAAACATAGCTACTACATGCTTGTGCCCCCTCAATAAAAACGTCTGATGACAATTTTTTTTTTTGCTTGTCAAGGAATTTTTGGTAGTTGATAGTGTCCCCCATTTAAAAATGTATGGCTGTGCCCCCCCCCCCCCCAAACTGAAATTGCTTCCTACCGGCCTGTGACGAAATGATGAGATCATTTGATTCTGAGAAGGAAAAATTTTGGAAATATTTCTTACATATGAAAATTTCCAAAAAATAATTTGTCCTCCACTGTTAAGGAAATACCTTGATTGATACAACACTTAGTCCTGTAAAGGCATAAAAAAATAACCTTGGGCTAATTGAACACTTGAAACCACCCCCCCCCCCCCCCGATTACATGGCTATCCTTATGTAAACATTAGAAATACATAATACACATGTTATTAAATAGTTTTGAAATTTGATTTCATTTAAATGAACTAATTCATTTTCTGATTTGTTCTGAATACAAGCCCTCAGATTGCTTTGATCCCACTGACATATTGGAGTATATAATGAAAAAAAAAATTAACCATCAATATATCAGTAGAAGCTTCTGTAGACCTGTGGTTCTGACACAAAATTTACAGTTTCCATGAGTAATTTACTACCAATATTATGAATTAGAAGAAAAAATCAGGAATTGGAAATAAAGAAAAATGATATCCGTACTCAACTTTCAGAAAGAATCTTGATGTCATTTTTCAAAAAATGACAATATAATTAAAGTAAAATTTTTACTAAAATTTCAGATTGATGAATCTACAGTGTACATTAAAGCATTTTGCTTAGCATCAATGAAAAAACAGCGTTACCAGGTTTTTTTGTGCATAAGTAATTCTGATGGAACGAACAGGGTGGACTTTGCTTACTGTCAATGCCCCATAGGGTAAGTATTACACAGTTCTTATCTTCAAAATAACAGATGAAATCCAATTTTTCATTTTATATTATTCTAATAATATGTTGTTATATATGTGTTCACATTTTCTGTAAATTACATATACACGTTAGCTCAAGCATGCAGTCATATTGGGGGGCTGCTCTTCACCATATGCAATATGCAATCCACTACAAAAGCACCTTTGCAAGGAGAACAGAGTTGTACATCAACACTCTGCCAATGGAAAGTGCCACGAACAATGAACCAGAAACCAAAGCCTATAAGCAACCTTAACCTTTCAAGGCCCAAGGCAATGGCAAGCAGTGATACTGATGATGATGTAACCAGGTTATCATCACCATCACATGGTTCAGCAATGGCCAGGTTCGACCCTCGTCATTCTGAGGACAAACATCATAGCCTTGCTTGGTCTCTGGATCAACTTGGGGAACTAAGAGCTTGTTTCCCTCATACAGGTTTACAAATATTTGTAAATTGCCTTTTTTAATGATTTTGAAGTACAAAAAAGAAAATTGAATAAAAAAAAAATATCTCACTGCAATGAAACAAAAATTTTTCTTTTAATATTATAAATAATTTTAAGTAAATATCATACTCAAACTGAAAGCAGTGTATATAATATTATGAGGTAAATACATTAAAAGATACAAATATAATTTTAAATAATTTTTGAATAGGTAAAAGATGTATAATATTTCTTAAAATTAAATAAATGATTAGAGGAGTAAAGTATTTAGCATTTTATGCAGTGATTCAATAATAAAATCTTTGTTGTCTAGGTATGGCTCATCTCTGGAATATTCCAGACTCCAATGTACCTAGTTCTGTGGAAGTTGAAGTGGAAGTTGAGACATCTGTGCACCCATTGTACCTGAAAATGGAAAAGATGCTGTTATCAGATGAGAACTGTGAGTTGAAAATAAAATTTTGAATTTTGATCCTATATGTCTAAAACCTAAACATAGACCAATTAGCAAAAATAGAGATAAAACACAATTATAATTATCTCAATCTAATTAGATCTTCCATCCACTCCCCATTTTATCTATACATTGCTTCCCTGTGATGTTGCAGATGGAAAATCAATTTTAATTAGATTGATTATTAACTGTAATGTATCTTAATAATTTTAATGAATGCATGTATAATTCTACTAACTTTTTTTATTTGTTATAAAATAAAAACATATCTTTTATGTACTCTTTTCTCATTTCCAACAGTACCACCACCTATGATAGATGAAGAGCTAGTGAACTTTATAGAGGAGAAGACAAGAGGACAGAGACTTTGTGAGATGTGGAGAGCTCTCCACCTTGGGAGAATTACAAGTTCTATGTTTGGTGATGTGCTACTAGCAAGAGAAACCCCAGCAAAATCTCTCGTCAATCAGATCATACATGGATCAAATCTTGACAGGTAATATTCCTTTTAAAAAATTATAAAGTAATTAATTATTTGCACATAGTGTTTTTTTTTTTTTTTTTTTTTTTTTTTTTTTTTGCAAATAAATCTTGCATTAATTATTTTTCATAAATGTAAATAGTAATATTACTAAATGTAAACAATCATTACAATGAATGATTGTAGGAATACTGAAAGTGCATTAATGTTACAATAGCTGGAGTTATTTCCCTTATGTACATGTTATTTTGTAATATGAACCTAGTATGTAGATTAGTCAATATATATGTCACAGCCGTATTTTATTTGTTACTCCTTTTTAATAATAATAACAATGAAAACAGCTGTTGGGTTCGATGCATATATTTTTCAATTTCATGGTAAGACTGAAAAGGTGACCTGTAACAATAACAGTAATGAAAATAAATGAATACACTCTCATACCTATACACTCACACATTAAATTACTTTAATATATTTTAACTTTTCCAATGTAATTATCTTTAAGTAGATAATTATTTGATAAGATATTTAATTTATTCAAAGCAACGGTGGTAAAAGTTCTTACCGAATAGGCAGTTAAATTGTCCACATTATAAAATGATAGACTTTGTGGAGTAAGAGAGGAATTCTTCCTTACTCCTGGCTGTCCTAGGGTGGAGTGAATTAGTTAGGGTATTTGGCGCCAAGCATGCGCACACAATACCAAACTAGTAAAACCACTCACACACTTCTCACTCTAAAATATCAACCAATCACACAACTTCAACCCTCACCCATTCTGACACAAACACATTTGACCTTTCACACTCCTAAATCCACCAATGAGCATTCAACCCCATGAATATGAATGAGATATTTTATGAATGAACACATAGTAAATTCCAGAGGACTGTAATTTACTATGCTTTATAGATGAAAATGATGATGATGATTAGTGATTAGGTCATTAAATATTCAATCATACATATAATATTTATCAGAATAATAATTTATTCACCCTGTGACATATATACAGGATACCTTATCCTTTCTATTACTCTTAATTTAAAATATTTCAGATATACAGCACTACCACCACCAGTCCAGTGGTGGATAGATCATGAAGCAGAGGCCAGAAAAGATTACCTTACCATTAAAAGGGCCATAAATGAAAATACAGATGTACATCCTACAGGGATCACCTTGTATTCAACACACTCATTCCTTGGAGCCTCAAGCGATGGGAAGGTAATTGAAAATGGAGACATGGGATTACTGGAAATAAAGTGTCCCTTTTCGATTAAGGGTTACAATATTACCCAGTGCGAAATATCAGAAATCTTGGAACTGAATGATCGACACTTTTGTCTTGAGATGTCATCTTCAGGGCCAACTTTGAGAAAATCTCACAAATTTTATGCACAAGTGCAGGGAGAAATGGCAATCAAGAGTGTACCTTGGGTGGATTTTGTTGTGTGGACTGCGGCTAAAGCAAACAACATTTTTATAGAAAGAATTCTTTTTGATGAGCAATTTGTTACATCTATGATGCCAAAATTAGTTAAATTTTACATGGAGCAAATTTATCCATTATTATACAAGTGTTGAAATTTCTCTAGTGATGCAATGCAGTTCTTTGAAGCAAAGGCTGTATGAGATTAATGCTGTACGTGTGCATAAATAGGCGTAATCAAAATTTAACGCAATTACTAGGTGAGTTGTTGGCATATTCATGAATTAGCGCTACACTCTTAAGCATTGTATATTGTATTTGTAAATGATTTCTTAGTGGTATTCATAAATTAGCGCATCGTTGTCTGCACCAAAGCCACTTTAAATATAAAGCCTGCTTTTTTAAGAACACATACAGTATTAGATGAATTGACTCTAGTTCTATTGCACTTTATAGTGTATCAGTCTAAGTACACAGCTACAAATTTACAATTATTTATCTGTGGAAATTAAAGTGTTGGATATTTGTGATTATTTTTTAAAAGCAGAAGGTTGAATCAGGGAATAACTATCTTCTAATTTGGTATTTCGCAAATACCAAATTAAAAGATAGTTATTCCCATTCTAATGCAATATATGCATTTTGTTTGATGTTCATGTCTTATTTTGTTGAGTTTTGTTATATAAAATACGTCATAGAGCATTGTGTTTTTGCGTCACTCTATTATGACGCCACAATGAATAGCTTTCATTCTCATTTATGCTCATTTTACTGCCTCAGATGTCAGTGTATTACCCAATCAAAATGTGTTTTACAAAACAATTGCATTAGAATTTTTTTTTATTTGTGAAAATATTCTTGTAGCATAATATGTGATATGAATTGCAGGACGACAGCTTTGATTAAATATTTTGTATATTGTGTACTGTATTAATTACTAGGAATATTTTAAGTACATAATTACTTAATAATATTCAATATGGAATGAATTCATAAAAATCAAAACAAGAATTTAAATGTCTTACTTAGAGAGTTATGATTCATCAGTGGAAATCTTTTTCCCATCAACAAGCGGATAATCCAGATTGGTCAGCCAACAGCAGACTTGGAAAATCTTCGTGATGAAGTGGACCATTGTAAGGGGGATCACTCCTTCTAAGACATGAAAGTTCTTCACACGCCCAATGCTCCTTTCAACATGAATCCGAAGTTGGGCAATCTCCTGGGTCTTGAAGACTTCATCTGTTGAAAACTGGTTAGAAGTGCCTAGAATACAATATTAAGAAAATTATTTAAGCTAGTTACCATGCAATGTTTTCCTGATTTATCTTTAAAAAAAAAAGAAAAGAAACAACAAACAAACAAATCTAACCATTTGCACATAGATTGAGTTGATTGGGTGGGAGGGGGTGAGGTTAAGATCTGGCATTAAAGGACGACTAAAAGATTTTATTTTAACTTAAAATTCTTATCAGCAAAAAGAAATCCTAATTTTTTAACTCTCGTGAGATAAAAATAAACAACAAACAGCTGAATGTTTACAACTTTACACTTCATTTAATACCTCGGAATGGTGGAATGTTTAAGGAACATTGTCTTTTTTCAAGTAAGTCAGCTATGGTGAAGCCTTTGTCTGCCATTACACTGTCACTAGGCTCAAGTAACTGAAGTAGGCCACATTCCTCAGTTAGCTGACGGTCTGAAGTTTTTCCTGGCCATGCATCAGAAACAAAAGTAATTACTCCAGATGGACTAATACCGACTAGAAATTTAACAGTAGTATGATGCTTGTAGTTAGAAAATGTTAGGCTTTGATTTATTAGGCTACTTGATGATTGAATGAAAAGTTCTGTACAATCAATAATCACTCTGGTTGATGGATACTTAGATTTAAAGGATTCCGGCATAGTTCTGTTGATAATATCTCTGCTTGGAAATGGGTTTAGAAACTTGAGCTCGGCATGAATTAAACTGATCCAGGTTGTAAAATACATTGAAAATGAAGCACTGCTGATCTGGAATCTCTCTGATATATCCTGCACATAGAGTCCAACTTTCAACCTCATGAGGACAGCAAATAATTGATCAATTGGATGTAAGCAAGATGATGACATTCTCACTCTGTCTGTAGTTGATGTCTGTCCTTCCCCCCTCCAATATGTCATCCTTGAACATTTACTGGAAAGGTAACTGTAATCAATGAAATTACAGAATTAACATTCTGTGATGCTAACTTAAGTTATAGGAATTTTTAAAACCTAAAAATTTAAGCAGTCAATAACATCTGAAATATAATTTGATTTTTGCATAAACAATCACAATACCTCTGAAGAAGGTGAATCAGTTTTTTGATACATGACTGTAATTTTTTCCATTATTTATTATGATCATAACTTGTATAAAGATACATATTTGAAGATAATAAAAAGTTAAGAAAAAATGTCAACACTTGCTTGTACAGCCACAGGAAGATTGTAAAAGAAGGTAGCCCTGTGTAAAAACGTGTCATGCCATCATCATCTTTAATGCGCTCAGCAGACCATTTGTGTTTACGTAGGTCCTCTCGAAGTCTTCTTACTTCCTCTTTAAGGTTTCTGTTTTCTTTCAGGAGGGGGTCTTCTTCACATTGCACACCTTTAAATGTGTTTATATCATCAATAATTTATAGCAAGCAGAATTTTAAAAATTTATTTACATTTTACAAATCTACTGAATATCTTATATTGATATTGAAATTGACATACTAGTATCTTACTAAAAAGATATATATTGCAATTGAAATATTCAGTTAAATAATCAATTCATCCCTGGTGTACCTGCATCACATGTCATCTTAATGTCAACATCATCTGTTGGTCCATTTTCATCATGATCACTCAGTCTGGTTAAAGCATTTCCCTCTGTACTGTGATCACCTGACTCGTCTGTTGATCTACAGTAGGAGCCATGTGCAAGCAGAGAAAACTCTAAATTAGCACTTTCTCTCTCCCTGTTTATCCTCTCTGAACAAAGTTTTTCCTTGTAAAAAAAAAAGTAGAGCAATAAAAATATTTTATACATGTATATTTATGTATTTTGAAAGAAATTGGGGTAATTTATAAATCCTGTGCAAAATTATATGAATAAATATGTTTTTGATTTAAAAGAAGGTAGCTCTGGGTAAAACGTGTTTTTTTTTCTTCTTAAATCTGACATCGATCTCTCGTTGTACCTCCTATAAAACTTATGTTTGATTTTTAGGCCGTTTTATTTATAAGATTTCAAAAAATATATTGGTGAAAATCAAAGGTAGATACCTTGGTTGTTTCTCGATCAAGTCGTCTCTGTTCCCTGTTAAAATCTTCTTCCGATCGTTTCTGTTTGTAGGCAAATATTGTTGGGGCATAATTGTCATCGCTCGGTTCATCTCCGTGCCACCCATCAACAAAATGTTGCGAGCAGATCCAGGTATGCTCGTTTGGCGTCCATTTATCCCTATTAACAGCTTTTATCCAGGCTCTTCTTTTTCTTTTGTTCTTGGGAAACCGAAAGAAACTGACACCCTTCGACCGTGATTCTCCATTACACACGTTTCGACACTTGTAAACACAACAAGATTTTACCATTTCCGTTCCTAATGAAAACAAATGAAGCTTTCCACTCGGAAGCGTTTGTGCGCATGTGCGAGTAACTGTCCCGCACTTAAGTTAAAAGACCTTATTGTGACAGGGATTATTGATGGATAAAAATACCTGTGTTGGTTCGAAATAGTTTTATTCATTATAAATGAGTTGAAGTCATCATAAAAAGAATTACCCTTGTAACAGGGGTATCACTATGGAAGTATATAACACAACACTCCTGTCAGGGTTCATCAGATTTATTGCACAGTGGAGTGATTATATATATTGTGTTGTATTGTGTAAGCCCTGTAAATATCATAAAACAACAATAAATATAATGTAAATAATTATCACACACAATGTTCATTATTTTACATGAAGATAATAATTAGATTATCATCATTTATAATATTTACACTGTCATCAAAGGGAGATAACTCTTGAATATATAAATCTTTACATATTAATTACTCCCATAATATTCATAAAAAATATATTCCAGATTAAAAACATATAAATCTAAATCTCACCATTCTAAGGGAATAGGCTTTCCCACAAATTGTTAATATAGAAGTATCTACATGAATGGTGATCTGTAATTTAATACAATTTATTTAAAAATATTATCCCTTTAAAAATATATATCAATTGCTCACTTTGAACAATATCATCAAATATATCTTTGATCATCATAAAAACATATAATCTGATTAACATCAAATTACTTCTGTTAAATACTTAATATTGATCTTGTAATCAATAATAAATATACATCATAAAATAACTTTCTTTCAAATTCATTCATTCACTTTAGTAAGTGCAAATGGAAATGGCTTTTGCATACTATAGGATGAACATTTAAAATATGAAATAATATTAGTAACTTACCAGAAATGGAAATCTGTCCAAAGTCAAGAATGTCTTTTTTTAATATATATATAGTCTGGTCAAATCAACCTCTGAACAAAGAATGGTCTTAATAAAGCGGGAAACCTCCAACCCAGTCAATAAAACCAATAGAATCAGACCTTTCAAATCAATAACCAATAAAAACCAAAATAACAATAACCACTTCCAAAACACCTGACCAATGCCCTTAGGTAATATATAAGTATGTACAGGTAAGGGAGAACTAAGGGGTGGATCTAGGTTTTGAATAACAAATTTAAATAAAAGTTAAAACATATATTCTGGCAAGTTCTGTTACTTTATTTTTGTACAAATCCAACACTATTACACCCTGAAGATGCACTGCATATTTCATTCATAATACATCAATAGTAATTTCAGATTATATAACAAATCATAAAACATCATAACATTGCGTCTGGAGAACTCAAGAGTTATTTCCCTTGATTCAGAGTTTTATAAAATACAAAGAAATACAGGTATAAGTTATATAAACATGAATATATGTTGAAATTATAATGAACAGGCAGTATTATTAAATTTCATATTTACAAGTCACAGAATAAAATAATAAACCTGAACTGTAATTCAAAACATAAATTTTTTATACCTATTTGTGGAATAGAGCTGACTCCTTCTTCTGATGTCAAACAGAGCATTAATAATAAAATAAACGTTGACCCTGCAATATAAACTTGATCTCTCACTCGAAACAATCTATCATTCAGTTTATTAATTCCATAAGTAAGATGTTATAAATATTAATGAATATTAAATTGTTGTTTCATTAAAAAAAGTAAATTATGATACTCACAGTTTCTCTCAAACAGTGAGCCATAATTCCTTCTTTATGAAATGGTCATGTATAGATATGTACAGTCTGGCTGAAAGTGTCTTTGTCTCAGGTCAGGAATTAGGAGGTAAAGTTTAAACCAATGAAGCTGAAGTAGGATGAATACTACTCATATACCCTTACTACAGGTGTACAATACATGTAATACTATGGGTGGATCCAAAGATTTATTTGATTGTGTTGTGTATTTTATTTCAATTAATTTATTTAGAAACCTAGTCAATTTTATTTGATGAATTGTTTTTAGTTAATGTTGATTAAAACACATTCTTATTGACGTTTTAGTTTTTAAAAATATGTTTATATTCATTAATATATAATTGATTTCAATATGCTAATAATTAAAACAGCATAAAACTATTACCATTGCACTCTGAATGATAAATAATCCTCTTTGTTGTTGTAGACAGGACTGTAGAAGATCTCAATTGATTTAGCTCAAAGGTCAAGGTCAATAATTCAAATATTACATTAAATTGTTTAAAGTTGATACAAGAATTCTCTTCGGGGTTTGGAATTAATCTTTATATCATTACAAAATTTGAATTTCAGAAGTTTCCTTTTGATACTAAAACCCAAGTGAAAAAGGACAATGTTCGAAAACTTTTCTAACTTTAGAGACTATTATTGAATATTAGGCGAAATGCTGAAAGGTCAAAATCAATTACATGTATTTATACCTTCGACTACATTATTTAGGCTTCAAACCTTTATTATTTTTTTATTACGCGGGGAGGGGGCATTAATTAATTCCATTAACATTAAAGTTTCATTGGAATAATCCTGAGTGGCGATTTGACTACACGGACAGTTCCGGTATGACGCTGTATTACACACCAAACAGACGACCAAACGACGCCACCATAATGGTAGTCGGACAGGACTATCTAGAAATTCCACCGGGGAAAGAACGCGTGGAAGTGGACGCCGTATGCTCCTCAGAGGACACCAGAATAATTCTATCTGGTCCTGTTTATATCACTAGGTCCTTTAACCATATGCATTACTTAGGTAAGGATTGACTTGCACAGGGCACGAGATTAAAGTATGTAAAATTTTTAAAACAGAGGTTAATGATATTCAATTTATATTTGCTGTTGGTAATATAATTAAATTAAAAAGAAACTCTCTGTATTATATAGTTCTTCTTTAGCGTTAAAATATTTGAAATTGTTGGATATATTACATTTTGTTAAATCAAGTCAGATTACATTATTCTTACTAAGGGTGCATTTATTTGGTTTTAATTGAAATCGTACATAAAGTTTATAAGCAAAAAATAACTTCCTGGAAATGGTGCATGGTGCACATGAAGACATGCTATGACGTAAATGTAGTTAATCACAAAATCACATATTTGATCACGAATCAACTGACGAATGTTTAATTAAAAAGACTTTTATTACTAAAATATAACCATTAATACTCAAAAACTGTACGAAGGTTATCATTTAACGACAAAAACCAGATATTTGCAATTGCAGTTTTTATGTAATTGAAGAAATAAGAACAAAACAAAAAAAATGTTGAAAGATCATGACAAAGAGTCCATGACCGGTGTAACCGGCCGTTGAAAGGGGATTCTTATTAATCCATGTCACATGATCCCATCAGTGATGTTTTCAGTGGTCCGAGTTTCCTCTGCTCACAATTTCTACTTTTTTATTGGATTTGAGCTTGATTACTGTTCGTTATCTTCACATTTCATTCAAAATTCATATACGTATTTTATGTTTTCCTGCTTTAAGCTTTAAGATGGATAAAAATCAATAAATTTACACGTTTTCACTAAAATTTGAATTGCAGATCGGGAAGAATACATTGACCAGTACAGGAATGGGGTCAAAATTAATACCTTGACAAGCGAGCCCGACTACAATTACGATCGACCCCAAATTTCAGAATAAGGTGAAAGTTTATAATTAGATGCTCTTAAGAGGAAACACCATCTGCTTTCTTAAATGGATTTTTTTTTCAATATAATTTTTATCATATATTGTTAGAAGTGGGCTTTGTTTCATTATTTGAGACTGGTCATGATATTAACTCTCATTCTTTGCAATAAGGTTCAATGCATGTCGTAACTCTTACTCGATATCTAAAAATGTAATAATATAGTGTTAACACATACATTTATAAGCAAAATTGGAGAAAAGTCTTCGTATTTATACGTCTTTGGATACACGAAAACATTACATACATGTTCGGTATAAGTATGATTTACTGTCACTAGATCAAAAACTGAAAATACGGCGTAATTGAAAAAAACGTAGGCTTTTTTTTCCATGCATAAAAATTTTCTGCTCTTCTTATGTATTCACACATACTCATAATAAAGGAAATATTTATTCACTGAAAATTAAAATAAAATTCGATACTATATGTATCTTCTTTATATAACTAAACTCGAATATTATATATGTGCAAATGTATTATCATTTTCAAGCAAAACAAACAGAAGTTAATTTGTATACAGACCTGTGAAATGGATCTGATATCTAAAATCATTGAAACATTTTTAGACGAGCTACTGTATAAGATTTGGGGAAACAAAAACAAAAACAAAACAAAAAAACATTAGTTGTTGTTTGTTTGTTTTTTTGTGTTTTTTTTTTGGTCAAAAAAATGCGTTATATTTTAATATCTGTCTTAAATTATATAAATGTGATAAGTCCAATTTATTATGCTTTGGCTTGGAAAAGGCTTAATGTCTTATTGCATAAATAATGAAAGTATATTAACGTGTAAAGTCCAATTAATGTATCCTTATTTGCTTGGAAAAGGATTAAAATCTTATTGCGTAAACATCTGGAGATCATTCTCAACCTATAAAAATGCACAGTTTTTCAACTAACGAGAAAATACATAATCTCTACGTCACCAATGCTTACTTTTAAGAGATTATTATGCATATTCACGTGTTTACCATAGACCCAAGTTACATGATGTTAAAATTAAAGAAACCATAACATTATATACAGACATTTAATAAATATCAACGAAGAACCACGTACATCAATTACTCACAAATTTTATAACCTATGTTAGTGTCTGTAACTTAGGTATTAACTTGGCCTTTCTCATATTTTTTAATCTTATCAGAAAAATATGACATGCATTGCTTCTATAACTGTATAGTTATTTTGACAGTAAGTGTAGATTTTAAATGATAGTTACTCTCGGACACTTTATTAGTTACATACCTCATATTCTTGTTTACTCATTGCACATTTTTCGATCATAATTGCTTCTTAATCCCCCCGCTTCACCCCCTTTCACAGTTTATTTTAATAAATTGATAACCTTATTTGCTGATTGCAGTATAGATACAATTTGAATATCAAAAAAAGGAAAATAAACACGACAATTGCAAAACTTTTAATTTTAACAAAAACATTATTTTTTGAACCTTTTATCAGAGCTAGTTTGGAGTTACGAATGTATCCTTTTCGTTTTTTTAAGCAAGACAGTATAAGAATTATTTATCATTACACAAAGTCTTTTTTTTTGTTTTAAATTGTCTGTACAATTGTCCTCTTTCCTGTACAAATTTCCGAAAAATGAGAAATATGTAAACATTATATATTGATAGGTACGGATATTCCATCGAGGTTTTGCCAGGAGATGAACTCGGAACAAAATGTGTGTTCAAATCATCGTCAAAATCCTTTACTACTTTTAAAGGCGATGCTACTTCCGACGAGATGTGCTACGGTTTTCTTACAGTTCATCCAATGAAAAACGTAAGATATCCGTACTGTTTAAGCTGGAGAGGTCTTTCTAAGATACAATTACATTTATATCCAGTCATCGATGGCTGCGATACAAAAACTTTCTTAAATGTCTCGGATCCCTCTATGGCGGATATTTACCTTAAAATTGATCAGAAGTGTTTTCCATTATCCACGTGCTTAGAGGAATGCAAAGAAGTAGTCAAAGAAATAAAACTTCATCCGTGCTTACAGGGTGATATTGGGAAAAAACTCAAACTGTCGGCCATACAGTCGGGGGATGTCAAAGCTCTTTACTTTTACTCTAAGATAGAGTCATGTGCCCTTGAAATGCTGCAAGAAGACAGGTTGAATCAGACGAAAGGAAACACAAATAATGGTTCACAATTTTTTTTCCACATTTCTTGATGTTGGTTTCATTGCTTTTTTTAATGTTCATGTAATCATTAAGCTTGTCATGAAGCAGGAAAAAAAGAGGTGAAGTTTTAAATTGTTTATTGTCATCAAATACAAGTGATCTTATATCATTAAAATCGAACTTTCATTGCATTTATCATCTGACAAAATTGAACATATGATATCTTTGTGTTATGTCATATATACATATGCAGAAACTTAAAATGTTATTAAATCAATGTAATGAACAATGTTAAACACTATTTCACGTATTATTTCTTATTAAAAAAATATATTAAAACACGGGGTGTAGAAGTTCTTTTTAAGCAACCAAAATTTTAATATGTACTGTCCATCAATGACATCTTATAGCTAATATCTAGACATGCCTTACATATACTCAAACCTCTAAGTCTTCATAAAGCATTCACATGTAGTCCTGTGTTTAGATATCATAATTCAGGTATTACAATGTTTTTGAGTTTTGTTGATCCAGGACTGAAGGTCATTTCGCAGTCTACGGTAATGTCTGTATTTGATATATACCGAATACCGTTCTCTATGAACAAATTTCAGTCAGTGTGAGATCCATTAGAGTCAAAATTGTCTGACATTTTTTTTTCATATAGAATTGTATGGTGCATATGTCGTACTTAAAAATTGCTCTGACATTGATTTACCTAAGACAATCCGATATTATAACAAAAGACAAGGTACATGTATTAAAACCACTGCAGCAGTTTTCTCAAGAGTGGAGGCTTAAATTAAAAGTTCTCAGTATTTAGGGAATCGACTTCACTGTAGTTGGTATTTGAAATAAATTGGTAAGTTTGATACGGACAGTGGGGAAAAATATTTTCTTTTTCAAAACATACACGGAGCTTAAAGCAATGCATCGGATTGTGATACAGACAATATAGAGAATGATATGGAATGGAAAGGAAAATGCAGATGTGAACTTTGATTTGAACAACCACAAAATGTAGAGCAGATGCTGAAGGTATATTATGTCATTCCATTTATTTTCTGTGTTCAGCATCTCAATGTGCCTTGATTTTTGACACCCACACACAGAGAAAAAATCAGCAATTCAGGAATTGATAATTATGATAAAAAACTTTAGAATTCTGTCAATTTCTTTCCAAACTTGTAGGAATCTGAGAAATGAAATAATTAAATATCATATACTACCTAGATTTTGCAAAGGCATCAATCTTTCTAAGGTATCTATCTTTGGAATAATGAAATCAAAGTCTTTGAACATAGTTCTGTATACGTCTGTAAAGTTTGTATCTTATTTTTCGGCTTGTTATTTTTTCAATAGGAAGATAGGGTTTTGAAAAGTAAGTTGATGCTAAACAGAGAAAAAAAAAATTAAGTGGTCCTATTTTCAATTACAGACACTGAAAATAAAATTTAAAGAGATTGCATGTGTAGTAATGAATAATTTTGCAAGGTAACTAGGAGTAAAACATTCCTATGGTTAAAATGAAATATTTACAAGCCAACTCTGTTTATACTGGTAATATACTTCCGATCATATTTATTCAACACAGATATTGGAATTTGTCACATATGGTGAACACTTAATGATTGATTAATTGATTGTACTTGTGTATTTCTTTAGGATATAAGTACTAAGACAGTCTAATATTACATCTAATATCAGACTGCTCACTAATATCGGATGCCACAGATAAATGTTTAAGACTGCAAGGACAAAGGAATGACATCACAGCAATGTTTAAATTTATACATATGTAGTTTCTTTCAATTCCAATTTCCCCCTTTTTGAAATCCATATTAAGTTAAGATGTTTTCTTATATACGAAGCACATTTTTTCATATAAATACTTAAGAATAATTCTAAAGAGAATTAATTTCCTAAAACCACAAACAAAGGGTAATATAAATGTACTCAAGGCGGATCAAAGAATAATCCTAAGTAAGTCTATACCCAGTCAAAAACAAATAAACACAGCATGTTTTGGACACATAAACTTCTTATATGACAAGCTGTCCATGCATATGTTTATGTTTACGAATTAAAGAGGGGTATTCTACTTAATTGCTTTTCTCAGTATACAGATTTAATTACACTAAAAATAAAAAGGGGGTCAAACCCTCTGAAGCCTTCCCTCACACAGATTTCAATAAGGTGCTTTTCAGCCAAGCATTTTCCCTTTAAACTTTTTGTACATGTAAAGCCATAGTTTTCTTTTTAATGAATATTGGAAACGATGATAATTATGAAATGATCAATACTAAAATTTATCTACATGAACATTTTCCTTTTTTTCTTTTGGCGTCATTTCGTTGTTTCTGACCCTTCTTTTCTATTTTGTGTGTGTATTTAAGCAGTATTTAAGCTCAGTCCATTTAAACAATAGAAATCGGGAAAAGAGCAATCAGGGACCTCCAAAAACAGCAGAGGTGGAATCAGGTGCTATGGAGGAAAGAGCATGCCCTGCCTATCGGTCACACCCCTTATGCTCCTTGCTCATGTTCTGGAAAAACGGAAAAAAATACGTAGACAATTCAGTGTGTAAATAATGTCCTAACAATTATTATGAAAAACGTCACTCAGCACTTGAATTAATGATGGGCTGTAATTGCTGACAAGGCCATTGTATCGACCATAAAACTTGCATAATGATGACTTCATACAAGACTGTTGATATCCTTGTTTTATCAGACGGGTGCGCTTGGAGCCATCTCTTTAAACAATGCTATGAAAAATAGTTTTGGGGAAAATATTGGCTCAGAGAATAGGATACCTCTCCTTCGCATCCCCTTTTTTCAGAAATCAACAGCAACCCTGGAAAACAAAAAATAAACAACCCCTTCAAACATTTCCTCTCTTCTTTTCTAAATATTAAATCAAATATAATCATATATTGGTATGAAAAAGTGATGATAAAATTCATTAAAAAAATTTGTTTAGATTTAAGTATTGGGGCAAAATCAAATCAAATCAACATCTCTAACAGTAATTTTACGGGTATGGATGCATGTATACTTGGACGCAGGTGGCTGGTAGATGGATCTGCGCCTGATATAGAATGTCGATTTGAATTTTATAATTCATCTTGATAACTTATAACTTGTGAGTATAATATATTTTCCCACGGTATTTATTTCTGGGTCTAGAGAATTAGTTTTTAAACAGAAAATTAAATACATTCGGAAATAATCTTTGTTCATTAATGTTTTGTTACAAGGTCATAAATTTGAAATATTACATCAGTTCCATCCCATGGCCAGTTATAAATATTTTTTTGCTTAAATAAACATTTATACATATATAGGTATAACGTTAAGGTTATTTTTTTCCTTCATTTTTAGCTAATTGTTACATATTTTTTGTTGCCTTTTTTAAAAAATTTTAAATGACTGAAAAAGGTGAATCAATGTATTATTTCATTATGATACCTCTCTCTCTCTCTCTCTCTCTCTCTCTCTCTGACATATTTTTATCTACTATACGAGCCAGGAGAGTTCCAGTAAATTGGCCATAACACGCCGATCATAAGTGCTACAACTACGGCATATTTTGTGATACGCTCCCTTACCTGCACGTCCAAAATCCTTAACGCGGATGTACTTTTACGATCTACGATTTGTAAGTGAAACGTAGAGGGCAAATCCCAATACGAAACAAAATCTGCCTAAGCTAGAAATAAGGGACACCTTGGAGATTCAGCTTTGGACATCTGTCACTTAGCCATATTTCCTATGCAAAGTCACAAGTATGGGAGGTTCTTTTCTATATTTAGATGATGTTAATTAAGAAAAAAACAGTTCAGTTCTGATTCGGAAAGATTTCCCGGAAAAATGACAAGAGCTAAGCTCCACCTCATATTTTATGGTCATCAGTGATCTGTTATATCTACTTCTCTAAATCTAGAGTCCCTGTAGTTTTATTACTTATAACTTTGTGGCCAATGAAGAATTTGCCAAGTGGTTTATTGCATCTTTCATGAGCAGTAAGTCACATATCTTACCGGATTTAAATGTGTATAGTATTTCATTTAAGAGACACACTGACGGAAAAAGGGGGAAACTGACACAAGTAGAATTTTTTTGGATGACACATGCAAATTTTGTTCAATTCTTGAAGATATTAGGTTTCTGAAAATTACAGGTTTAAAACCTAAAAAATCTACTTTTATGGAGACAAATAAAAGTAAAAATAATTTTTGTTTACCCTAACACAAAAATATAGCTTCACTTCTTCCTCTTTATTGAACGCATGCGCAGAAAAAATGAAGAATTTACCATGGTGTCACTTCCATAGATAAATATCGGATGATTGTGGATTTTGATACAATCTTCAATAAAAATGCTCAGAACTTATTCCTGACTTCTTGCTCCAATTCAAAATTTCACGCTAAAAGTAACAACTAAGCGGTAGATACAACATTTGTTTTTCCGGCACTTATATTCTGCAGTTTTTTTCTTGCTTTACAGTGCAGTTGAGTTGTCAAAACTTCGCTTTATTCATATTTCACATAAATCTTTTGTTTTTATGATACAATTATCTTAAAAGAAACACATGATTTTGAATCGTTATGTAATTTTTAGGAATTTAAGTGTAAAAAAAGAGAAAAGTTGGAAGATTTTTTTTTTTTTTTTTTTAAAGTGTCTTGAATGTTACTTACAAAATTTTGACCTGCTCCGTGATCCGATTTTCGCATTTTTAAGTCTAAATAAGTTTGAAATAAACCACGATATTTTACAAATTTTTAATACGCATCATTTGAATTCACTGTTGAAATATTTCTTCCAAATTTGGATATAATATGACGTTAAAGTAAAAGAGTTATGAGGGTAGTCCACGAACTTTCCGAACAACCCTCGTACATATAATATAAAGATCCGAGGACGTGTGCTTTTTCATAAGTTTCAATATTCAGTGTTATTATGTCATTATAACTTCAAAAATATTCAAGATACAATATTGAAATTTAATAACAAGGTTCCATCTACAATGTAAATGTTAATTGTCTCTTGAGACCTAAATTCATCACTGCTGGGTAGTATCTCAATATTGAATTCAATTTGCAAAATAAGAATGTAGAAATTCATCAGCTCCAAAGACTCGGTCCTATTACAGACCATAACATTCTGACTTCTAAAATCATGATTAAACAAGTTAACCTGATTCAAACTTTCAGTAAAGTTACGCGTTCGCTTTGAATGCATTTCTAAAGAACATTGTTTCGCTTTGATATTCTGTTTGATTGTTTGATTTCTTTGTTTACTTTTTCTTTTGAATGCGATCTTATTGTTATAATACACATAATTATTCTTGAATAATTGAAGACATGGACGCAGGAGTTGTGTCGGAGGGACTCAGACGGTGACGGAAAAACCAATGGAGAAGAATTGGGTGATCCTAACTGCAAGTGGCGAGAAAACACTCTTCCGGATACAAATGCGATTTCTCATCCTGGTAAGAAAATAACTTCTTGTTTCAAATACATGTAATTCTTGTAAAGATAATGTCTCTTTTTTCTGAATTTTCTTAAATATTATTTACTGCATTGAATGATATCCATACTCAAGGACAAAAATAATTTTAAAAATAATAAATTCATTGAAATCGGTTGCTTTAATTATCACCATGACAAATTATGTTTTTTGATTATTTACACCTCTACATAGCAAAAGTAAACTTTTGGAAAATATAATTGTCATTGCTAATGCTGTTCGTTTAGTTGGTTAATGTTGATTTTTATGTTATCATTTAATGTTGCCTTGACAGTGCAGAATACAGAATTTCTGCAGAGTGCAGAATTTTGTTGGAGACGTAATATAAAACCTGAGACGGCTTCATATTATACATTGAAAAATCTGTACTGCTTCAATTGGCAAAAATTTTTCTCGAATTCAACATCCTACAAATCCTACAAAACCGTAATGAGCGTCAATGAGTCTCCTCTTGACCTATGCGCCTTCAAGGGATATGTTCCAAAGTATAACGTAGTTATTTTTCATTAATAAAACTTTCAAAAAAGTAGTCGGTTATAATGGTACGCAATTCAGACGTATGCTTCATATATGGGCATAGAGTAGCATAGGACCATTGGATCCAGATTATTGCGAGTTGTGGGGCTGGTTCCACATCATCTCTAATGGATATCTAATATGTAAATGATTTTAAAGAATTTCCTCCTTAGAAAGGGACTATGGGTATAAGTTGGATTACCACCAGCATAATTAAATTCAAGTTCCTCTAAAGTACAATTAAAATAATGAGCCTTACAAAGAAAGACAATATTGTTACCTGCTTTCTCAGCTTGAACCAGTACAAACTGATCATGTAATCATTTTTTTTTTTTTTTCTTAAACATTGAGGACATAAGGATAGATGGTTTTCATAAAGCTCATCAATCGCTTGATGCAAGATTTTAACATCCAGTCGATTCTTTTAATTCATTTTGTCAAAGTGCAATGTTTTGCCCATCGTCTGGCGTAATTTACCATAAGATTGATCAGCGGTGTCTTCCATTATCAAAGTTTCCTGAAGAATGCAAGGAAGTGGTCAAAGAAATCAAGCGTCATCCTTGTATGCGGGGCGATGTTGGGGAGGCACTCAAATCGTTTATCCGACAGACCCAAGATGTAAATGTCTTTAAGTTTTACTCTAAAATTGATTCCTGCGACCTCGAGATGCTGCAAGAAGATATAATTGATCAGATGAGAAGAAACACAAATAGTGGATCACAAGATTTTCAACATTTCTGGATTTTTGTTTCACTGCTGATTTTTAAATTTCTTTAAAATTTAAAAAAAAAAGTTACGATGAGGAGTAGATGTTATTAATATGGAAGATTTACCTAGAGACATTTCACAACTACATATATCTTATCCAGAACTATTAATAAAAAGACACCGTCTTTAGATTATCGGCAATTTGACATCCCTTGCGATTACAATCCTACTCTCAGCTTTGAGAACCTTCAAGGACTAAATTTAAGGAATGTTACCAACCAAGCTGTACAACATATTGTTTGCAAAAATTTTAAAACACTTTGGGAAGAAAAAGATATAAAAACGACAAGAACTGAAGTAGTATTTACTTTTTTTAACAAAGAGTCGAACAAAAAAATATAATAAAAAAGTGTATCTGTCAGATAGACCAATCCATTAATAAAAGGGTTAAAAAAAGACATGAAATATTGAAATTACATGCATGATGAAAAAACGTATTCCCTCTAATTCCTTTTGGTGTATACAGTAAACGCAGGGTGACAGGTGATCTGAGCATTGCATCAAAATTATAATCAATTAAATTCATTGAAATAGTTTGACGTTTCCGTGAGGTTGGCCCTTGACTAGATTGGCCTTACTTTGTATCTACTTAAACTTGTCTAATGAATAGTTCTGGAATCCTAATTAGTTGTGATTTGTAAGCAATTGACTAGAGAGAGTCGGGTTATATTTTGAGACATGTCACGATGTTCTACATTATTTGATTCAAAGAATGAAGTGATAAAACAACAGACAGTACTTTCCTGCCAGATTTAGTTTTAAATTTTGTTTGTTTGTTGTTTAACGTGCCACTCGAGAATTTTTCACTCATCTGGAGACATCACTACTTGCCGGTGGAGAGCTGCAAATTTTGACCTATACTCGGCACTCAGGGCCATTGAGCAGTGAGGGATCTTTTTCGTGCCAGCATCTACTGCGACACGGGACCTCGGTTTATACAGTTTCATCCGAAGGACCGGTCTCCACGTCCAACAGTGGGATTCTAACCGCGGCGTAAGAAGCAACTCTAGAGCAAACGCTTTACCACTGCGCCACGCTGGCGACCCTGCCAAATTTAAAAGAGACATAAATACATGTAATTGCAAGCTGACAAGATTAATGTACTTTATTATATAAATAAACATGGCTGTTGCATATGTAAGTGAAAATCAAGTATTTAAGACAAATGTTGGGGAAAAAAATAGATAGACACCAGGGGCCTGTTTTACAAAAAGAACTTACAACCAAGACCGGGGGGGTTGGGGGTTGGGGGGGGGGGGGTAGCTGATTTTATTATTTTTTTTATTTTTTATTTTTTTTTTATACAATTTATGATTTTTAAAAAGACAAAAAATATATGCATAAAAATATATTTTTTGATTCTCTTAAAGAAGATTAAACCCATTTTCATGTTTAGAAATTAAACTTAAATTAAGTAAAGATATATTAAAATAAAATATTATGTCCAAAATCTTGAAGACTCATGTTGACATTAGGAACAATGCATACTAAAATTGATTAAAAATCATAAACGTTCGATAATATGAATAAAGACCTCCATATTCAGGTTGACAAAGAGACTACCAAAGTTACTTTAATTGCAATCAATTTCTAATGATGTTTTTCAGGGATAGAAAAGGAAAAGATCAAATTGATAATTGAAAAAAAAGCTAAAATCCATGACATTGTTAAAGCATTGTATTTTGATTAAATTTTTACTCATATCAACTGGGTATCAACTCTCATATCTTTCCGTTAGTCCCCTATGTAAAACACAGGCCTCCATGCGCCTCTCTGCTATCCCGGCATTAGCACTCTTGACAATTTTAATACCCCGCTCTCCGCATTACAATTAGAGTCATGACGATGATTAGCACAAAAGTACAAGCTTTTCCAAAGGATCCCAACATAATTCTGACAAATCTGGGGTCTCTTCTCTCTTGAATTTTTTTTTTCAGACGTTTTCAATAATAAGATTAAATTTAGATAAAATTGGTTCTTTGACCATAGATTTTGCCCTCATTTTTCAATTAGCTTATGTACGTATTACGCAATATTTGGTGATCAAGTTTATTTGTTCATCCAGACAGGTAAATAAACTTGTTCAATGAACAATGATAAAAACAATGCTTATGGTTTTTTTTTTTCACCCAGGCTTGTTTTTAAGTTTAGATATCTTATGCCAGTAAAATTCACAAAGTTCAAAGTATAACGTACATTTGGGTTTTATTAACATATGGAGAAAATAGCACAGGTAGATTAACAAATGACGGTGGTACATCAAGGAAGTAGAATATTTTTTTTCTTCGTGCTAGAAAACTAAAAAATAGTTCACACACCAAAACATATCTGATTTATAGTCATACGTGCATTAAGTTAGCCCCTAAATAAACGATTTTCTCACCCGTACGAAACTCTTAACCGTTTTCCGCCTGGAGTCCGGGCGGACTGAGACGGATTCCGGTTAAGTGCTAGGTGGACTAAGCCGTACTAAAGGCGGACATGGAAAACGTCTTAGCTTTAACCGTTTTCCGCGTCATATCTTAGGTGGATTCCACCTTAAATTTGAGGCGTATTTTTGTTAGACGTTTTCCGGCTTAGCTCTTAGACGGATTCTGCATTAATCTTTAAATTATGAACAGTTTAAATTATGACCACATGTTTCATTCCTGTAGATGACCTTGTTTTCTAAAGGCACTAATGGGGGAGATATTCGAAAAAAAATAGTCAAACATGGCTTTTAATCCAGTTATTAGACTTTGAATATCAGGCTTTTTATTACATTGAAGATTGCGTTTCCTAGAGGAGTAATCTTTTTGCAGCCATATTGTATATCAGATATACTTTTCTAATGCCCTCCTGCTTGACCACCCTCTACAGGGGGCGGAAGTTTTCAGGTAGAGCCTCTCTTTGGATGCATTGGTCAGTTTGAATGCAGATTTTGAAAGTGATGACTGTTGGTCAATCTGGTTGATGAATCTTTATATCTTATTCAGTTTAAAAAGGAATTCAGGCAAGATGTATGCCTGTAAATTATTATTCTGAAGATGATTTGTTATGTGTTTTTGGAAAAAAAGAGTGATAAAATACAACTTTTGGTGTTATTCTACTAAGCTTTGAAGTGAAGCAAATTATGCTCGGTGAACATGCTGAATGGAAAAAGAAGGACCTCTAAACACTGTACAGGAATACATGTAACTGTGAAAAACAATGGTAAGTTAAAATTTTTAGCGGTGTTTTTTCTTTTCTCCCTTTTTTTGAATTCGTACAGCCAAAATATGTACACACCACTCTCCACCATTACTTCCGATAATTAATTCCAACTGGAATAGCATTGAAGCCCTATATTCACATTATACTCTACACTGACCTAGATGTTATAAAAAAGTTTGCGCATAAAATTTCAGGCGCCATTTCTTTTTGCCTAATGTAGGGTAGCCTCCCCCCTTGTTTTCAATGTTATGAGTATATCCTTTTAGATTAAAATATTAAAAAGTACAAAGATAAAGGATAAAAAAAAATTACTAATTCATTTGTCAATTATTAATCAACATGTATTTTTGTGTAATTTTATTTTTCACTTTGCGTATGTGTTTTCCGGAAATACGATTTCCTTTTAAAATTAGCGACCTGTAGTTACTTCCAGTTTTAAAATCACGATTGAAAAATTTGTTTATATGATGTGTGTTAGCACTGGCTTAACCAGTTGTTTATTAGTGGAATGGTGACACAGACACCCTTCTAAAAGTGTAGTCCGCTACTCAGTTGGGATTAGGAGTCAGGTTCTGAGATGTAAGTCATCATTTAAACTATTAATATATACATCATGTACATGGAATTCTTCTTCCATTTTTTTTTACCTTGATGAAATTCTTAAAATACATTTTTGGGGTGAAATTTGAACAAGTTTTTTAAATTTATTTTTTCATCCATATTGAAGTGTACCATTCCTCCTAACGTTGATGCATCTACACGATAGTTTTCCTAATTATTCAATAAGCAGCTGCAAATGTACATTTCAAAACATACATGGAAATGAGTATATTCATTTAAGTTAGATCTACATATTTCATGAGCAGCTATTGAATATACATGTAAATTAAAAGTGTTTGTAGAATGGGGTCTTACGTTATTACCTTTTATAAATATATGAAGATTATGAGTAGTAATTGAATAAGGGATTAAAACCTATTTAAGTCAATTTTAAAACTGTAGATATTAGGATTTTCTGCAGTGCAGTGTTATACATTTCAGCACTTCGAGCTTTTTAAGTCCTCAGCAATTTTGGCCGATAAAGGTAAAATGAGGACTGCGGCAACTGCAACAGGTCAGGATGAAGGCCAGAAGTCACTGTCCATCCACCCTTAGCAGTAAACTGGCAATGCTGCTGAGACTTCTCATTTGAGAGCTTGCCGAAGATTCATGGGGAAAAGGAATGCAATCTAACACCTGTGCTTCATTCAACTGTATTGGAGGTTATGAGAGGTAAGAATACATGAAGACATCAGACGTCTGATAAATATATGAAAAATTATTCTTATATTTTGTAAGTTTTAGTGTTGAGAGAAATTAGACAAGACTGTTTGCATCCTAATCTGTAATACAGAACAGAATGCCATAAAAGAGTCATTTTATTGAAAAATGTTCAAGAGTTGTTTTAAAACGAGAAATTCATCTTAGTTTGTATTTCCTTTATAGACTTCAACATGTGGTGACCGTGTGTGAAGAATGGCAAAGGAAAGCTTGAGTCGTGGAAAAGATAATTAAGTTATTCCAGATAACTTAGGAAGAAGAACAATAAAAATGACACACTCTTTCCTTGCAGACAGAAAGAATTTTGTGAAAATAATCAACCAGTGGTAAATTAACAGCTAATTGTTTTGTTGAATTGACTTTTAAACAATGGTTTTGTCCTTCTTTTTTTATTTGTTAATTCAACTGTGACAGTCACATTATTATGTAGATGTATGAAGAAAAATCAAGTTTTGGTACAATATTTTTTATCTTTTTATTTCATGTGAATTTAAGGCAAGGCATAACATTTTCAGATGTAAAATTTTTTTAGTCATTGAATTTTAAAGAACTTGTAAATAAATGATTTATAATATGTATAATTTCATTATTTTTAATTGTTAAGTTTGTTAAAGTCTGAAACAACAATAGCTGATACACTGTGATTGGCAGATTATGTAACCATTAATGCAAAATCCCTCTAACCATTAAGGTGGAATACGCCTTGCTAGTAAGGCGGAATACGCCTATCTAAAGTAAGGCGGAATACGCCTTGCTAGTAAGGCGGAATACGCCTTGCCATGAATGCAGAATACGCCTTGCAGGTAAGGCGGAATATGCCTTGAAAGTAATCCATATTAGGAAAGGCGGAATACGCCTGAACTCATTTAAATATTTCGAGCCCTATTCCGCCCTGATTCCACCCGGACTCCGTCTAATAGTCTTATTAAGTTCTTTATAGATAAAGGCGGATTCCGTCTTTTGATTTCCGCCTAAGGTCAGGGCGTAAATTTTCGTACAGGCATTCACGCAAATTCTCAAAATTCCTTTTTGTCAATGTTTAGTAAATAACATTTGAGTTTCTGCTTAACGCTCCTAAACCTTAAACCTAAAATTTCAACAATAGTATTGCGTAGTTAGATACACTAACTGATCTGTATATTAACCCTTGTAATCAAATCGCACATTTCGTAATTCCCATTCAATCAAGAAGGGTATTCTAAGCTAGAAAATGAATATGATTAAAAAAAAGATTTTGTAGATATACAACTAATATCAATAACAAGTACAAAATTTTATATTATTTTAGTAAGAAAATGGACAATATAATGTAAAAAGCTCACATTTTGTTAAGAGAAAATTAATCACACAAGAAAAACATTTTCACTATAGCTGAACATTCACGAAAGGAGACAAAATTTAAAAAAAAAATGAGATAGGAAAACCTCAATAAAATTTCCCAATTACTGCACAAGTATGTATCTAAAAGTGTTTAATATATTAATCTGGGTTTCTTTCTTTCTTTTTGAGAAAAAAGAAAAAAATGTATATTTTTATATGTTTATAAAGCTTATTAATGTTTGAAATTTGAACCATTTGTGTATTTTCGTGAGGAAATGTACAAAAAGACAAGATACGAGGGGTGATCAAAAAGATCGCAAACTAATTGAATTACTTCCATAAAAGAAATAAAATTAGGTTACAGTGTGCATTATTTTTTCAAGTAGTCCCCTCCTGTTGAAATGGACATCTGTCATCGTTCTGCCCATGAGCGAATCACGTGGTCCAGGAGGTCACGTGACATGCTCCGTAGCGTTCTGTCACAGCAGCTAAAAGATTTTTCCCAGTCTTATAATCATTATTAAGCAGTTTTTTAATAACTAGAATAGTCCATTTGTCAGAAATGACCAAATCTCGGCAATAAGATTGGTGGATAATGATATCTTTCACCAGAATCAGCATTGTGACCACCACAACCCAACTCCTCTGTCTTAGATGTGTCGTTTTTTTTTTTAATATGGATCAAGTATAGGCAAGTTTTCCATATCATATCTGATATGTTTAAAATCTAAAGTAATGATATTTAAGGGATTTAATAATGTCTTTATTTTTAAGATAAATCAACTATTTTTCTAACCGTATATTGGCGATCTTTCATATCAAATTGCTTAACTAAGGACACATCTCTTTCCCAGCTTACTTTCAATGGGCCCCAGAACAAACATAAATCCAATAAATGGTTGAACTTCTTGCAAGTCCTTTGTCTTCATAAACCCTGTTCAAATTATTATATGCCACTGCAAAGGAATTTCCAAGATTTACGTTAATCTTTACAGCCGTTCCTTGCTCGAGTAAGAGTGAATCACCCATTTTCCGTTACAGTCACCTAAATATCTGACATCATTTTCACATTGTGACGTCATAAGCAAGGACCAAAATATTATATAACATCTGCTATTTATAGAACATGTTTATGACTATTCGTGAGCCAAATTTCATTTTGATCTGAATTTGGTTTTGTAAATATATAGAGATAGTTCGCGAACTTTTTGATCACCCCTCCTATACGTAATTAAACTTTTTGTTAACCTTATGCGATATTTGCCTCACTGTTTATTAAGGTCTTTCGTCTTCAGCATAAGACCTGCTTGTTATTCTAAGGTTTCTTTTCAACTGTTTTTAAGGTCTTCCGTCTTCAACAGAAGACCTTCCTGTTATGCTTAGGTTTCTTTTCCACTGTTTTTATTTTTTTCTTACCAATTTTGTGCACGCGAGTTCTCGGAAACGGCTCAATCGGTTTTCATGAAACTTTTAGGTCTGATAGAACATAAAAAATCTAGACATATATTTTTTTCTGTTTTGATTACGTCACTTCCGGTTCAGAAATTTTAACATTTTAGTGAATTTTTGAAGGTTAGTTCGTCCGCAAGTTTTTTTTTTTTTTTTAAATGGATTAGGTTAAAAACTTTGGAGTTTCAGAGATGATGGAGCAATATATGTAAATGTGACAAACGCATTCTTACCGGAATTGCTTTACGCCTGCGCTCACCATGGCCCGAAAACAGGCATACTGAAATTTCAACATTTATAACACTTTTTCTACAATATATCTTTACCTGAAAATATTTTGTTAAAACATATAGAGAGTAGTTCAGAATTATAAGAACTTTCGAATGATATCTGGAAAATGGGGCTGATCCCTAAGATTTGGGGTCTAAAAAGGCCGGAAGTTTTTCCTCAATATGTCAAAAAGTATTGAGAATTTGTAATACATCAAAGAAGCGAAGTTGTGCAAAATTACAAGTAGGAGTTAGTGCGATTGCCAAAGCACGTCGAATGGCGTCACTTCCGGCCAAACAGGAAGCAAGTCAAATATGCTTATTTTAATTGATATTGGCATTAAATTGAATATTACAAGTCAAGGAGGCCTTCTGACCTTATTTCCTGTCGAATATTGTCACTTAAGACAGCTTCCGGTTAAACAGGAAGAAGCCAGAATTCACTTTTTTTTCAGATATTGACATAAAATTTAATGATTTTCATCTTTAAAGACTTTCAACCTAATTTTCTGTCGATTGGCGTTACTTCCGGTCAAACCGGAAGCAGTCATAAATCTTTTTTCACGTATATCTGCCAAGATTTTAATCATAAACTATCATTTTTTGGTTAAATGACTCTTGTAACAAATGGATTACCTTCTTTGACCAATCTTACAAACAGTGACACTGAATATCGGACAGAAGACCTACTCGTTGCTTTGCAACGAGCTTTGCTCTAGTTATTATTATTTTTTCTTATCAATTTTGTGCACATTCATAGATATTGTCAATGAGAAACTCAATCATTTTTTCTATATATTAGCTTTGGAGTACTATTGTTAAGAATCAGGATGTTTAATCAAAATAATATAAAGATGACCATTGACATAGTATTCAAATTCACTAATTCAATTTTGATTAAAGAAGCAATTGTTTATCCCGCTATGTATCTTTGCTTGTAAGGACTTTTATGAAGTTTTAGAATCCAGTATAGGTATGGTAATTCAAATTCAAATGCAATTTAGTTGTAGGGGATATTAATTATATTTAAAACTGACATATGATTTTGGAAAAATTATTCCTTAGAAAGGGAACTATGAGCATAAGTTGGATTGCCATTTTCAGAATTACATCCAAGTTACTCTTAAATGCAATTACGATAATGATCCTTGCAAACAAAGACTATTTTTGTACTTGCTTTGTCATTTGTTCATTTAATCTATTTAATTTTTCTAGATATTCGACAAAATTCATTTAAGAAATGTTGTACTCTGTTGAAAGATCGAGGTTCCCTAAATTGTGGCTCTTTAAAATAAGTGATTTATGGTCCTCATTGCTTACTATACTCAAGTCACAGGTAAAAAGCTAGCAGAACTATAGTTAAACATTCTATCCACATTTAAAAAGGAAACGATTCTGAAGAGGGCGGGTCATTACATTTCAATTAACCATGAAAAGCAACTGGCATATAAACGTCTGTTTTTAGATATTTAAATCCACTTTTAAACAGGATGGCAAAAGGGTGAGTCCTTACCTTTACCCAGATATTAAAAATAATTATGTATAATTTCTAATAGTAATGCATGATTTACATTTTTTTTTTATGAATTTAATCATTTGAACAGTTTCCGATTCTCAATTTTCCTTTTAGCAATCGTTCATCTAGGCAGTGATTATATATTTGTACCATTAAAAGAGCTGAACTTAAAACAGCTCTTGATTGCAGTGCCTTATATAAAATTAAATATATATATATATATATATATATATATATATATATATATATATATATATATATATATATATATATATATATATATATATATATATATATATATATATATATATATATATATATATATATATATATATCCCAGAGTTGAATTAAGAGCCGTGATGCAAAAATAATTTCATTTACTGACAGATACTTATCAGTTCTCATCTGCTCTATCCTTTTTTATGCATTGTGAAAAAACTAAAAGTCAGAGTACTAGAAATAATGTCAAAATAGCAGAGTGTGGCAAACAAATATTCCAAAATTCTTCTTTGCAAACTATAGCATTTCTTCACATGATTTGTTAATCAACTTTAAAATTTAGTCATTCCATTTTTGTTTAGACTAAGTATTTCCTTACAGTATTTGTTTTTAAAGAAAATATTGGAAAGTGTGTTTAATATTCATTTTTTCTTAGGATTATTTGATCTTTTGTTATGGTTAATTTACAGATTTTTGTTTTATTAACTATTTCTAAACAGGATTTCTTTTTGCATTTGCTTGCTCTTTACGTGTTCACTTGGATTCAAGTATTTCCAATCGAAAATACCAAATGGGGACTCTGTACCACATCCTTGTAAACCGAATTATCTCTGGCACGGAGTAGGTCACAGGAACGAATTAGGGGGCGGATCAAGGAATCCATTTGGCGAGGATTTTGATGCTGCTGGGAAGGTAAATCTAAAAAAAAAAAGGAATACTGTCTGTACTAAAGTATAACAAACTGTTGAAGAGAGATATAATGCTCTTATCATTTGAATTTCATTTGATTGCTTTATTTAGATCTAAGATATACAACCGTGAATGTATATGCATGTTATGCTTCGTCTGTTCAATATATTTTTATTTACTTTAGACTTGCTTTAAAATTTTAAATGATAATGATAACTTTTTTTTCAGTTATTGTATATATGTATTGTTGTTTATGAAATAATGTCATCTAAGGGGGGTTGGGGGGGGGGGGGTTAACAAAGGAAGATTAAACTAGATTTTCTCGATGTCAAGAAAAGAGCCGGATCTCAGGTTAATTAGAATTTTTGTTAGTGGTCTTGATTTCTTCTTTGCAAAATCCTTTTTGAAGAAGCTTCAGTCGGGCAACTTTTCATTGTACCTGAATACAAAAAATGGGCTAGACGATAGAGTTGATCCTTTTTTGTCAGTCATTGTGCAAAATATAATAATAATAACTAGATGAGATCTCGTTGCGAGCAACGAGTAGGTCTTCCGTCCGATTTTTGATAAGATGAGATATGATTTTGACTAAGATAATCGTTAGAAGATAATGATATTAAGACTTCCCTTATTAGATTTCATTCTTTTGATTTATTTAACATTATCTTGAACATATTTTGTTCAATATTGCTTATCAAAATGTTTACCCTTTTCGAGATATAAAGCATGAAAGGTTCAGCATTCAGGACCCTTATGGCTCCTTATTACGTAACAGAGGATCAAATTTTTACAATATTTTGTTGCATATTGTTACTAAAGTATTTCTGCTTCAGTAATTTATAACAAAATATTGATCGTTCAAGAGTTACAGATTAGAATCTTTTAGCCCCTCTGAATCCCTAATTTAAAGGTTCAGTCCTTTTTTCGTGATAGCAAATGAAAGGTCTTGTAATTTCAGACTTTTTGTTCAACAACCATTCAGAAGTTTCTTTTCGTTTTCGAGATATTCTAAGTAAAAATATTCGGAGGCTGGCCCTTCAAGTCCTTAATTGGGCCGTTTTGCAAAAAAAAAAAAAAAAATGAAAGGATGCATATTGTTTAGAACATAATTCTGAACATCTTTTATTCAATATTGCTTATTAAAATATTTTCCCTTTTTGAGATATAAAGCTTCAAAGATTTAGCATTCTGGCCCCTTTTGGTCCCTTATAATGTAACATATGATCAAAATTTTAAAACATATAGTTGCAAAGCGTTAAGAAGAACATTTTTGCTTCAGTAATTTATAACAAAATATTGATCGTTCAACAGTAATACATAAAAGACTTTTGACACCTCTGATCCCCTATTTTGAGGGTGCAGCCCCTTTTACTTGATATCAAATGAAAGGTCTTGTGATTTTGAAGACTTTTTGTTCAACAACTATTCAGAAATTTATTTTCGTTTTCGAGATATGCTGAAGTGAAATATTTAGGGGCCAGCCCTTCATGTCCTTAATGGGGCTGTTTTGCAAAAATTGAAAGATTGCATATTGTTCAGAATATTATTCTGAACATCTTTTGTTCACTATTGCTTATTAAAATACTTCCCCTTTTCGAGATATAAAGCTTCAAAGATTTAGCTTTCTGGCCCCTTTTGATCCCTTATTACGTAACATATGATCACAATTTTAAAACGTAGTTGCAAAGCGTTAAGATGAACATTTTTGCTTTAGTAATTCATAACAAAATATTGATCGTTCAACAGTAATACATTAAAGACTTTTGACCCCTCTGTGCCCCTATTTTGAGGGTGCAGCCCCTTTTACTTGATATCAAATGAAAGGTCTTGTGATTTTGAAGACTTTTTGTTCAACAACTATTCAGAAATTTATTTTCGTTTTCGAGATATGCTGAAGTGAAATATTTAGGGGCCAGCCCTTCATGTCCTTAATGGGGCTGTTTTGCAAAAATTGAAAGATTGCATATTGTTCAGAATATTATTCTGAACATCTTTTGTTCACTATTGCTTATTAAAATACTTCCCCTTTTCGAGATATAAAGCTTCAAAGATTTAGCTTTCTGGCCCCTTTTGATCCCTTATTACGTAACATATGATCACAATTTTAAAACGTAGTTGCAAAGCGTTAAGATGAACATTTTTGCTTTAGTAATTCATAACAAAATATTGATCGTTCAACAGTAATACATTAAAGACTTTTGACCCCTCTGTGCCCCTATTTTGAAGGACAGACCCTTTTACTTGATATCAAATGAAAGGTCTTGTAATTTTACACATCTTTTGTTTTATATATGTTAACAAAATATTGAAAGGTATAAATATATGAAAGAAAAATTGTCAAATTTTGCGAGATGCTTGTGAGCCTATTTTTCGAGCCCTGGCGAGCTTCGGTGCCATTTAAGCTGGAAATATATAGACGCAAAAAAGCACAACTCTAAAATCCTTCCTCTACCGTCACTGAAAATCTCATCTCAATATCTTGAGTCGTTTAGGAGTGATTGCCAGGACAAGCCGACCCTCTGAAAATCAGAAAATCGTCCATATCTCACGCGGAAATGACGTCATCGACGACGAACATTTCCGACAAGGTTCAGATGAATATCTGTCAGATCTGAAAGTTTGGTGAAAATTGACTGAGCCATTTCCGAGAACTCGCGTGCACAAAATCAGTAAGAAAAATAATAATAACTAGAGCAAAGCTCGTTGCAAAGCAACGAGTAGGTCTTCCGTCCAATTTTCAGAAGCATTGCTTGTAAGATGGATAAATGAAAGTAATATATACTTAAAAAGAAGGCCTCCAGACCAAAAATGATATGTCGATCTGTATTTAGTTTTTAATGATTTTTATGCTGATTTTCTTGAAATAAAGCAAATTAAGACTACTTCCGGTTTGACCGGTAGTGACCCCCAATCAAGAGAAAACTGGGTCAAAAGTCTTGGTTGAATTCAATCATTTAATTTTATGTTGATATCTGCAGAAATACGCCATTTATAGTCACTTCCGGTTTAACCGGAAGTTGACAAAAGAGATGATACTTGACAGGAAATGCAATCAGACGTCCTCTGTGACATGCATAATTCAATTCAATACAGTGCTCCTATCCTATAAGTTGACAATCCTATCCTAGCTATCCTATCGTGAATCCTGCATCCTACAATCCTATCCTGTCATTTCAGTCTAATCCTATCCTATCCTACATTGTATCCTGCTGCTCTCAGTTTTTTTTTTAATATTTGTGAGTTAATTTGACAAAACGAAAAAAAAAAATTATAAAATGACCATCAAATAAAAATCAGTTATAGTTATGTAATTAATTTAAATGTAATAAATTTTAATGGAGAAAAAAATAATCGAGATCGACTTCCATTAATTTCCGAAACCCCGCACGAATTAATTTGCGAGTAACCAGTTAAAATGTAAACAAAAGAATTGTAATAAAAAGTAGGCAAGTATTGATCTAGCGAACATGTGAAGAAATTGGAACTTCGGAAGAATTGAAGAAAAAAATATAGTTATATTTTATTTGTGTTTAATTTTACATACTAACAATGATTGGGAGACGTCAAGGTGTTCGTGATTTCTTTCGAATTTGTTCTCTATGAAAAATAAATGGAGTTAAAATTAGAGAGAGAAAAATGGGGAAACAATAAAGATTGCAGATACTTTTCTAATGTTATGATTAAGTAGACAAAAGGAACGAAATTTAAACTCTTTATAAGAATCAGACCACGAATACCAAATCCTTCATGCGGGGTAGGTACACTGAATTATAACCGTACCGCGTACCCATTGAAAAAACAATTTCTCTATCAAGTCTACACATACTAAATAATGACAACAAGAGGCCCAAGGGCCTTAACAGTCACCTGAGTACAACAATTTAGAGGATCCATAAACTGATAAATGAAGCTTTAATTGTTGCCCAATAGCAAGAAAATTAGTACGATTATGATCAACAAAATAATTGGTCTAGTATCTTTCTATCTGTCCCCCATTTATCACTATTACCTTGCAAACTTAACAAAATGTCTATATTATTACCTCTCACATTGGCCTCACTTGGCCTTTGAAGAACATTTAAGAAGATAAGTTATTTTTGTTTCATTTTTATTCATCTATTATTTCCAAGTCTACCTGATTATTAAAACTATGAAAGTACTTTTTATATTATACAATAAATGTTCTTGCATAATTCCTTTATTCTATTAACCTTTCAAATACATTATCTACAGTGATTAATTATCAAAAGTGAATGGCAAAGGGGAATAACTTCACTCAATAGAATACAAATTAACAGAGCCCTGGCCAGGACCAGAACACTTGACTAAATGGTCCAGGTGTTGAAAATTTACAAATTTGGAAGAGGTACCCCCATCATCATAACTATGCAATTAGTTGAAGATTTTCAAAGAATTCACACATTTTCACTATCTTATCAAATAGAGCCCCCGCCCCTTCAGAGAAACAACAGAACCCCTGGGACCACAAGTTTTAAAAATTTTGTAAAAGCATCCTTGCTCATCATAACTATACACTTGTTTCTTTGCTTTATAACCAGGAGTAGAAAAAAATATTCTGAAAGAAATTATGAATTTTCACTATATAATCAATAGAGTCCCCCCTCCCTTCACCAGAACCCCTGACCCAGGGGCCATGAAATTCACAATTTTGGAAGAAGCAGCTATGTTCATCATAACAATGTACTTAGTTAATTTATTTAATACTCATGAGCAGAGAAGCAGATTTTCAAAGATATAATGCATTTTCACTATATAATCAATAGAGCCTCTCCCTAACACTAGAACCCCTGACCCAGGGGCCATGAAATTCACAATTTGGAAAGAGGCAGCCATGCTCATTATAACTATGTACTTAGTTACTTTATTTCATACCAAGGAGCAGAGGAGAAGATTTTCAAAGATTTAATGCATTTTCACTATATAATCAATAGAGCCCCTCCCTAACACCAGAACCCCTGACCCAGGGGCCATGAAATTCACAA